ACACGCTCTCACACTCTATTTCCTTCTGTCTCTCTCTCTGTGCGTGTGTGTGTGTAAGACCCTTTGTCGTCACGGAGAGAAAGACTGAGTGACTGGCCGACGTTTTATTTTGCTCCATGTTTTTCTATGCGTTTTTCTCCCTTTCCCCCCCTCTTGCTGTGGGAGAGGCGCTCCTGACCATCAGCGGCGCACAAGGAACAAGCGGCCAAACCGAACAAACAGTGGAGTTTACCGGGAGAATAAGACACACTTAAAACAGGATAAAATACAAAAATGACCGACAAGAAGGAAGAGCAGCAGAACACGGAGGAGTACGACTACGATCGGCAGCTTTACCGCTGCCCCATTTCTTGGCCCATCACCTCCGACAAACCCAAGATGACAAAGAAATTGTACTCCCTTATCAAGAAGACAGTGACGAGGAACAAAAAGGGCATATTGAAGGGCATCAAGGACGTCACAAAGGCAATCCGAAAGGGTCAGAAGGGCGTTCTTATTCTTGGCGCGGATGCTTCACCGTATGACGTCGTGTCGCACTTTCCAGTCATGGCGGAGGAGGCCAAGATCCCATATGTGTGGGTGCCCTCGCGGCAAGACTTAGGAACAGCGACGCAGTGCAAGCGCGCCACCTCGGTGGTTCTTCTCAAGCCGGACCCTGAGTTTCAGTCTAGCTATGACAAGATTGTGCTGGCGATTGAAGATCTGAACTCGGACGAGTGACTACAGTTTGGAGCCGCGGAACCACATTTTTGTGCCTGTACTTCCCGCATGAGCAAACACATTTTTCTGTTCTTACTGTTTCGGTTGCGTCTAAAAAATAAAAGAAGGAAGTAACGGAATCACAATGAATGGGGAAGTAAACATTAATGAAAAGAGTGAAACGAACAGCCAAAGAGGGAGACTGGATGGAATTGTTGAGACGAGCTGGTGTTTGGGTTATTTCTGCGAGGTAATGCAGACTGCGTTATCCGATGTCTTCCCTTCTCTGCTCAAGAGCAGAGGTTTTTTTTTTTTTTTATTTGGTTGGCTTCTTCTTCTTCTTTTCTTTTGAATGTGTTTTTGTTTTTGGTGGTTTTTATTTATTTACTGATTTTTTTTTGTTTTTGTTGTACATGACCGTACGTAATGGCGTAGATTATTGACAACTATTTTGTGTCAGGTCTACGCACACAAATGGAGGCCGGAGTGGCTGGTAGTGGTGCGATGCTGCTGAGTGCCTCGCTGCATCGCCGTTGGTACGCCCCGGGCGATGTTGTTCGTTCTGAGGTTTGTCTTCATGGATTTTCAAATCCATCGGACAGCGTGTCCAATGGAGTTGCCATGCGTTTTGGGCGGATGGATAATTACTTCGCCGATATCGATATCGATGCTCCTACGGTGGTGCGAGTGAAGTCGCTAGTGGCTCAAATTGTTGGTGCTTGTGTTGTAGATTCCAGACGCATTCAATACGATCTGGGGGGCGGTCGTGCAATGGATGAACGCTGCCGAATAGTTATCGAAGACACATTGTCGAAGGATCACAATGTCTACGGACTTTTCTGCTCGGATGATTTTTCCCTTGTTAGTAATTTGCCTCTTCGTGAGCGGGAGTCGAGGGCCCTGGTTGTGAAGTTCACTTTGCCACAGTATTTACCGTCCTCGTTTCGGGGGCAATGCATACGTTTTTATTACGCCCTTTTTCTACACGGTGTTTATTGCGACCCACGGAACTCGAATGCTCCTGTAAAACTCCGCATTCCCATCCAAGTGTTCTCGGCCCAGGCGATTGTCACTCCGCTGCTTCTCCCCGTGTCGTTCCCGCTGGAGAGGTTTGATTTTCAAGAGAAGGTGTCTTTTCTCCAATCCGCACCGTCATCTGCCCTGACGGGACCACTTCAAAGCCACCTGGTGCCTTCGGAAGTAGAAGACTTTCATGCTCATGTTCTTTCCAAGAAGGCATTAAACACGCAGGCCAATCAGTTAAGTAAGCAGCGCACCCCGCTACAGTTTCCACTAAGTTTAGACGGGGAATTGGCATTGACAGTAGTTGTGGCATCAACAACTGTGATGATTGGAGAATCCCTCAGCGGTATTTTTGTGGTGCAAGGCAACCCCAAGTTTCAACCAGTGAAGATTCTCGGTAGCCTTGAGTTTCTTGAGTGCTGCTCTTCTAAACACGTGAAGAAAGGCATTTTTCGCCATCAGCTTCCGGGATGGAGGAAGGAACTAGTTGTTGCGCAAACAAGGGTAATGGAGGAGCTTGACTGGGTTGTACTTGATCGTGCCACTGTGCCGTTTTCTGTCCCTTTCACAAACCCAAATACATACGCATCAATGCATACCGATGTCGTGACATTATGTTGGCAGCTACGTCTGCGCTTTTTGTGGTGCCGGTTGTCCGAGCTGCGGCAGTGTCGTGCAACTTGTCGTGAGGAACTGAAGATAGAAAAAGAGGAACCAGAGCTCGTTGTGCCGTTGATTGTCGTGCCGCCCTCTCAGTCTGAGCAACATCCATGCAGGGGTGCAACACTACAGGTACTATGCTGAGGCCATTTATTAGTACCACGGATATTCCAGACGCTTTAGACATCCTGCACGGTTTTTGCATTCTTGTTTACTCCGTAAGCTGGGGTTCACAGTTTCATTTAATTAACGAATAAGTCTGAGCATCAGCATTCCTCATTTTTTAAAAATGATTTGTTTATTTATGTGTACGAATGCATCCTTAATTGTTCTATCTTATCTGTTTTTTTTTTTCTTTTTTTCTACCTTTTTTTTTTTTTTTTTCCCGAGGCCGTATCATTTTTTTTTTTCTTTATCAATGTCTGACGAAGTTCAGTTTTTTCTTTCGCTTAAGGACGAGCTACCACTTCTTATTTTGCGTAAGTCCGGGCAGACGATTGCGGTGACAAGGGACGAACCGTCTGTGGGGTCTATTTTGCCCTTCTCTCCGAGAGTCTGCGACTTGGTGCGAGTTTCCGACGAAGATGTGTTGCGAAAGACATATGAGGACGGCTATTTCACTGCTGTGGCGAGGGACTGGCGCATAAAGGCGAAGGTAAACGTTTCCCTGGACCCAATCGAGGAACGCACGCACTGGCTGTTGTTTCTGGGACGCAACAAAGGTACGGCGGAGAAGTCGAAGACGACAGTTGCCAAAAGCTTTAAAGGCACTGAAAAAGATCTGCGTGAGGTGGTCAATTGGTTGAAGTCCCTTTCAGTGGAGGGATATTGTGAGGTGTATTTGGCAAGCGAGCCTTCCATCTCTGATTTGCGCGTCACAGGGGAGGTGGGCCGCCTTTGCCTTTGTCGAGGGGATGAAAGGGTGAATGAGCAGGTGTTTTTTGGTGACTCCATGGACGAAATTGCGATTTGTCTTGAGGAGCTCTTGAGTGTATTTTTTTTTGATTGCGTGAGAGAGGCAAAAGCCGTCTTCTGGCCTCCGTCACTGGCACATCCGCTGAATATTCACTACGGCGCGAGGGAGATGCGTGTGGCGGAGCACAATGCGGCCTTGCTTCCCATGCGTCCGTTGCTACACTTGGGGCAGCGGTACAAAGAGTGGCCAATGACAATAAACCTGCCAACTGTCCTTGCTGCCAGTGTACCTCGCACGGGGCAGTCTTGGGAGAAAAATCTTATCTGCAATATCCACGCTCATCTCTCAACAAATTCATTCATTAATGGAGGGGAAAAATCTGTTGTGAGCGGTGCCTACGACTATTACCACTACCGCGTGGATGGGTTCAAAGATGATGGATGGGGTTGTGCTTATAGAAGTCTACAGACCATACTGTCATGGTTCCAGCACGAAGGATATATGAATGAGCCAATACCAGACATTTGCGCCATTCAGAATATTTTGTATGCAAAAGACCCAGATAAAATGAATCGCAAGGAATTTATTGGATCAAAGGAATGGATAGGATCTTTTGAAGTCATGATTGTGATACAGCACTTCCTCCCAGGTATGGATTGCATGATAAGGCGTATGGAAAGTGGTTCTGACCTGGAAACTGATCCGTCCGTCCAGCAAACTCTGGTGAACCACTTTCGACAAAAGAGGGCGTGCCCCGTCATGATTGGTGGAAGTAGCTACGCTCATACAATTCTGGGCGTTGATGCAAATCTGGCCACAATGGAGGCGCGCTATTTGGTGGCAGACCCACATTACTCAAGTGGTGAAACCAGCTTGAAGACAGTTGTGAAGAAAGGCTACGTGGGATGGAAGGAGGCGGGGAAGTTTTTTGAATCCAACAGCTGGTACAACCTTTGCATCCCACAGCTGGCAACCTACGATCCACGTTGATGCCGAGGGAAAGGGGAAAAAAGGAAAAAGTAAGAGTTGCGGGGCAAATCTTTTTTTTTATTTCGCGTTCGCGCTTGCTTGCTGCGCGCTGTGCTCTTTCCTTTAAGTGTTTTTTTTTTTTTTTTGGTGCTTTCCTTATAAAGGGGATTTTCATTGCTTGTGAGAACATATTTTCTCTCTCTCTCTCTCTGTAAGTCTTTGGGAGTAAATACATTGTACGAGGCAGAGGGAACACATGCTTCTTCGGCGGATGGCACCGAGGGGTATGGCCTTAGTGGCTACAACTCCGCTTTTGTCGACATCCCGCGGGTACAACATGTTTGTCTTTCGGGATCCGAAGCGCCGCCCCCAACTGACGGAAGAGGAGCGAGCCAAAGTTGTCATTAACCAGGAAGAGTGGCCTGAGGAGTTTAAGGAATTTGATCCTGATGATCCGTACAAGAATAGCCCAGAGATTATTGAGGGCATGACCAGCTGGAACCTTTTCCTCTGGGGCGTGGAGTGCGCCTTTATCTATCAGTTCTATGAGCTTGTCTTCCCCAAGAGCATTTGAAATGTTCGTCTCTGGTGTTTGGTAGAACGGGTGCCCCACCCATAAATGGGACGCACTGGCGCCGGCAGCAAGCAAATTCTGAAAAAATAAAACAGGTCAACAGGAACAACGACGGAAAAAGTAAACTTTTAGGTAGCAGCGGTTGTGGCAGTAGCGATCAGCACACGTACAGGAGGGGGGGGGGGGGGGATTGATCATAGCAAAATAAATGTGAAGGAAGAGAAGGGAAATAGAGGAGAAGGAGGCAGAGATGTTGCCCAGCTTTTCATTTCTCTTGGTGTGCTGGTTCTCTCTTGAACGTGGTGACGGTACTGAGACTCCGCAGAGATGACAGTAAGAAGTAGCGGTGTTTTTTTTTTTTTTTTTCTGTGTGGGTATTGTTGAAGGGCGGATGCTCCGACTTTTATTTTCCTCGTATTGCATTTTGGCTTTATGTACTGCACAAAACACTTTCTGTGGACTTTTTCCTTTTTTTTTTTTTTTCTCGCTCTTTTTTCTCACCTCATTTTGGCTTTAAACACACGTATACATGGATTTTGCCTTTGTAGCTCACCATTCTACTTTTTGCGCTTCCATTGCCAATCAACGAGTCTTTAATTTTGTAACATCACTGACTTTTACGGTGGCGGTTGGACGTCTCGACGCGGCAAAAAAAATTTTTTTTTGTTTTTTTTTTGGGGGGGTGTGGGGGTGGGGTGGGGTGGAGGAATAAATTAACAGAATATATAAAATTATATAATAATTAATAATATTAATAATAATTAACAAAATATTTGTATTATTTTTTATTCGGGAGGGTATAGTATAGCTTTATACGTGCCCACATAAAAATAAATGAATGAATAAATAAGCACACAGACAAACGCAAAGGAAAACGGAAAGAACAACAACAACAACAAAAAGACAAATATTAAGTTGTAAATTTTGTCTTTGAAGGGGGTTTCAGACGATGCCTGCGGCGGTGAACGTTGAGGTCGATACAGGAGCGCTTGTGTTTGAGCGTCCGAGGTACTTGGGCCGGGGGGTTGAGGTTTTTAATGCGGATGATGTTCCAATCACGCCCTACGGTTCCTTTATTAGACCCGATGAATATCCAAAAAAGTTTAACATCAATGAGGCTTCTTCCATCGCCTGTCAGGAATCGGAGAGCGTGCAGATGCCGTTGGACTTATTCTCATCACATGAAGATGCCGGAAGCGCGATGCAACCTCAACCGCTTGATCAATCCTTTGTACCTTCCACGACAGGGAGCTTCGTATGCGATGAAAGGAGTTTGAAGCATCAACTTCACCGCATCCTTCTCATAGGTTCCCCGGGACTCGTTTCTACTCATGTGGCGGCAGGACTTTTGAAACATGGGTATCGCGTGAGGCTATTGGAGCGTGACTACCGTGGTAAGATCTTTCTTTACGGTTTAGAAAGTCTCATTGAAACTCGCCCATCGCGCCTCTCCTTGTTTTACGAGGACGATCTTTCACTGGCTGTGGCCGACTGTGACGGCGTAGTTTACGTTAACGGACCCGATACATCCGAAATTTCTAATGAGAACGATATTGAGCGCCTTTTTGTGTCATCCATACAAGACGTATTTCTTTCTATAAAACGCAATGGTAAAAGCGTGAGACGTGTTGTCTTGATTAGCCCCGCTTCTTCTATCTTTCCAGTCGAAACAACGTTGGTTGCTAAAACACGGGGATTGAAACGTGGCCAAGCGGCTGCATTAAAGGAGGCGGAGCGTTTGTCTTATAAAGCAGGTGTACCTTTGACGATTCTTCTCCCGGCCATGATGGTAGGTCCTTCCCTTCTGGGGGAAGGTGATGGCAACGTCCAGGCCTTGGTACTGCTTGCAGAACAGCAACGTCGATTTACTTCTCCCATTTATTATAACATTGTAGACGTAAGAGACGTGGCAGAGGCATGTGCATTGGTCCTCATGGCACCTAGAGCTGAATACCAGAAGTATATTCTTTCTGGAGGGGAAATGAGTCTGGCGCAAATTGCCTGTGCTCTTCAACAATGCATTCCACGTGTATCTCCACCAAAAAGACATCTACCAGTTTGGTTAACGAGGGTATTGTTGCATTTGGGAATTCTAAACTTTCTCGGATTTGAATTCTGTGAGCGAGTTGCGTGTGAACGGGTTGGTTGGAGTTACGTGTTAAGTAGCCTTAAGGCTCAACGTGACCTTGCAATACAGCTGCGAAGTGCGCAGACGGCCGTCGTTACTGCTGTAGCACATGCAATGAATGTGCCAGTAGCGCTCCAGCAGCCAAATGTTGGTGACACACAAACTTCAGGAAAAGTGCGCAATCAGGTGCGTGAAAGCAGGCTTTGGAGGGGATTTCAACTTGTTGGGTTTTCCGTTCTCTTTGCCACAATCGGCTTTTTTTCTGGGAAACGTCTTTTTAGTCGTTCTAAAGTCACCTAAAACCGACAGCAGAATTACACCAAAATTAAAAACAAAAATAAAATAAAACGAAAGAAAAAAAGAAACAAAAACAACAACAAAATAATAATATTTTGGCATTCTGTGTGGCCTTTTGCACAGAGTATCTTTTTTTTTTTTTTTTTTTTTTTTCGTTAATAATTGGGCTTTTTGTGTTGTTTTGTTTCCTCTCCTCACCATTCCACCTCTCCAATATCTCGTCCATAAATCGCTAACGCGCCTTTTGTGGGACGACGCGCTTCCTCTTTGCACCATTATTTGCCACGCGGTTATCCGCAATTAAATAAGTTCTTTTTTTTTTTTTTTTTTTTTTTTTTGGTCCCGCAGGGTGAATGCGAGACGGAAACGGGCCATGACTGTTTTTTTTTTTTTTTTTTTGGAGTGCTTTTTTTTTTTTTTTTCTCTTGGATTGGTTTTCCGCTAAGTTTTACCTCGCATTGCGTCTGTGAACGAAAGACGCTGGGAAATGGAGTTGTGTTGACAAACTTGAGGTGTTTAGAGTCTTTTTTGTTGAGTTTTTCCTACCGGCGGCACGCGGAGAACGCGAGGATGCGGGATAAAGAAAGAAGAGGATGCTTCGTGAGGGAATGGGAAAGGGTGGCGTGAATGCTGCGGACATTACGGAGACGTCAGGCGTTAGTTTCCCCCACCCCACCACTAATGCCCCGCAGCTACTGCAATGGACGACTCTGCGCCACGGATGGAGATGCCGTGAGAGCAGTTTTGTTTTCTGCCTGATGGATTCAGCCTCTTCGCGGCGGTGAAATGGGCAGGAGTGAAGCCGCTCATTTGGATTATATATGTATTGTGTGTGATATTTTAATGAACCTAAATATTGGCGTGTCAGTTGTCCAGTCCCAACAAGTATGGGGTGACATTTACGGCATTGCAGAGGCGGCATTCTTCGAAAGCACGGATAAAACTTTCTCTCTCGAGATGCTGGCGCGCTTGAGGAATGGTCTACCTTTTTTTTTTTTTTTTTTTTTTTTTTTTCACTACGAATATAATCAAATCTGCCAGTATATATTTGGTGGCATATTTTGTTTATTACCACACATGGAGATAAAGAAGAAATTCTTTATATTTTATTTTATTTTATTTCTCCCGTTTATTTGTTAGGAAGGCCCCAAGTAAATCCGGGGATTCCTGGAAAGTGTGGGAAAGGGAAGGAATAAATTGGTCGAGGAACTTCTCCCCCGTTGAGCTTCTGGAATGCGGGGTAGACAATGTTGCGAAGTGTGAAAGGTATAGAGTGTCTTTTTACGGGAAATGTGACGGCGCTCTGTGCGACCCCCAGGAGGAAACACTCCCGTGCGACGACTACACATTTAGATGAAGAACCCTCATCTCACATGGAGGATGTGGGGAAAAAAGGTGGAGGCGAGAAAACAAAGGGGGGATCTGAGACTTCAGAGGAGAGTTTTGGGAAGCGTTTATTCACATCGTGGCAACAAGGCGTGGTTGCTAGTATTGGCGCAGTGATGGGTATAGGTGCCATTGGTTTTTTTCTTTACGCCCCGGTGAAGGAGGACACGGTACATCATACAGCAGTTGTGGCGTCGGAAGCACTGGGCGATTTGCGTCTACGTGAGCAGGCCATACAACTCTCAAAAGGGGTTGTGGAAAATGTGTTGACTGATCCCAAGTCCCTAGACCTTGTCGTGCGACTTGTGGTGCAGGTTCTAAGGCAGGATGACACTAGGATTGCTGTATCCTCTTTTCTCCGTTCCCTCTTTGAGGATCATTACACCCAAGAGGTGACTAAAAAGTTTGTCTTGATGACTATATTGGACCCGTGGATTCAAGAGCAGCTGCGTGGCATAGCGAAGGACCTGGCAAACGATTTATTGAATGATCCAGAAGTAAAGAGGGCACTCGTTAACCTCCTTACCGATTCCGCTACCACTTCGCTACGGGATGAAGAACTACGCTACGGTGCCGCACGTGCTATGAGATCTGTGGCAAAGCGCACAATTAACCCATGGTCTTGAGGCGCCTTCCTGTTTTTTTTTATTTGTGGGTCAAAGACAAGAGGAGTTGAAAAAGAAACAACAACGACAGAAAAGACGCGGAAGAAAAAATATATATCTATATATTTTTAATTCCCCAATTGTGGTGGTTTAGGCTTTTTCAAAATGCGTTTATGTATTGCATGTCTACAACTGGACTTTTTATATATAATTGTATGTATAAAAAAATGTGTTCTTTTTTTTTTTTTCGTTTGTTTGTTTTCTCACAAAAATCATTTGTCTATTTTATTTGTCTTTATGTTTTGTCTTTGTTTTTAATACTGTTTTATAAATTATTTACTATTTTTATTTTATTTTATTTTTTATGCAAATAAGTCTGGCTTTGGGTGGGTAAAAGTGTTTGGAAGGGCGATGGCAGAAGAAGTTTCAAAAAGACTGTTAGCGGATTTGCATTTGAAGTTCATATTGGGTTTGGATGAAAAAAAGGATGATTTAAGGTATTGGATGTCGCAACATCTGAAGGTGAGTGGTGCCTTTTGGGGACTTAGTGCCATGGAACTGTTGGGCCACTTAGATAAAATTAATCGGCAAGATGTGATTGAATTTGTGGTGGGGTGCTGGAATAGCGACGGTGGATTTGGTGGAAATGTGGGGCAGGACTCACACATGCTTTACACCCTGAGTGCAGTTCAGGTGCTTTGCCTTTTGGGTGCACTAAATGCTATTGACAAGGAGAAGTGTGCTTGTTGGGTGGCATCCATGCAACTCCCAGACGGATCATTTCAGGGCGATGAATGGGGTGAGGTGGACACACGCTTTGTCTATATTGCGATGAATTGTTTGCAGTTGCTTGGGAGACTGCATCTGATAGACTTGGATGCGGCTGTCCGGTGGGTGCTGCAATGCCAAAACTGGGATGGGGGGTTTGGCGTCGCACCAGGGGCGGAGAGCCACGCAGGGCAAATATTTTGCTGCGTCGGTGCTCTTAGTATCGCTAACGCGTTGCATTGTATTGACAAGGAGCAATTGTCAAGTTGGCTGGCTATGCGACAGCTGCCATCTGGAGGGTTGAATGGCCGCCCTGAAAAGAAGGCCGATGTGTGCTATAGCTGGTGGGTCGTGTCATCTTTGTCAATGCTTGGGCACACCGATTGGATTGACCGCAAAGCTTTGTTTAATTTTATTTTGGCATGCCAGGATGCTGAGGACGGCGGCATTTCAGATAAACCTGGGAACATGGCAGACGTATATCACACCTTCTACGGCCTGTGCGGGCTGAGTCTTCTCGGGTACGAGGACTACCCACTGAATGAGATCAATCCCGTCTACGCTATGCCCTACTCTGTGCTTGAGGAGTTGGGCGTACCGGAAGAGAGGGGACTGCACGTCGGCAAGGCCCGCAGAGAGAAGGCATAAAGACCCTCGCAAGCGTGACACAAATTCGATGCTTTTGGGTGGGCACCCCTTCGTGTTTTTTTTTTTTTTTTTTTGTTACTTACGGATTGCTCGATTTGATTTTGTTGTGGAGTATTTTTTTGGTGATTTCTTTATTTTGCTGAGCGGCGACTATTATTATTATTATTTCTGTGATTGACGGATGGACGTTTCACTGCGTTTGCTCAGAGTTGCTGCCTAAAGTATGCTGTTGTGTCTTCCATGCATCTCTGCCGCAGTCTTTTTTTTTTTTTTTTATGCATCCTTGCTTGGTGGTGGCTGGTGGGCGGGCCATTGTATTAATTTGAGGATACACGAGGAACATTGAAAAAAAATAGGGGAAAAAGAAACTTTGGCAAGCAGGCTGATACAGGCTGCTTCTAATCACACGGTCGGGAAATAAGATGGAGTGCATGAAGCTCCAGGAAGAAGGGCGAAAAAAAAAAAAAATGCAAGGCGATACCGCTTTTTTTTCACCTTTGCTTGGTTTTCTGCGTGGGGCAAACGAAAGAGCTGCTTTGTTCCATGCAGACACGCACACAGCACATCTTTTTTTTTCCCGTGAATTTTTTTTCTTTTTTTTTCTTTCTAGAAATTGTTTTAATCATGAGAGATGCGGCGTGCTGCTCTTGCCGGCTCTTTGGTCCGCCTCAACTTGGTGGTAAAGAAGCAGCAGCAGCAGTATCGCTTCAGCGCGGCAGGAAGTAAGGGCTCACCGGGTCTCGTAGATCACTGTAAGTTGTTGCAAAAAATCCATATGGACCAGCAGCCGTACCACGTGAAGCGAAAACGCATTCAAGGTGTTCTTCGGAAGATGGAGACAAATTACATTCATTGGCTGAGAGAATGCGGGACAAAGGAGTCTCTTTTAGTGCTTGAGACACTAGCAGGGGTGTCAAGTTATCTTAAAAAGGGCCGTTCCGCCACGGTAAATGTCCAACAACGGGATAAGGAAGAGGGGGAGGAGTGGACCGGTGCGTCACCGTACTTTTTGCCAGGCGTCAATGATTGGCTGTGTGTTCTTTTGGAGCGTGGTGCGCGACACGCGTCACGTCCCGACGAGTGTATGACTTTGCTGTGGGCCGCGGCTGAACTTGAGCTTGCCGATACACCGACGCTGCAACATCTATGTCGCCAGTTGTTGAAGGAAGAGTACACAGGAAGTGCAGCTCCAGGGGAACTAGTTCGTGTTATTCAACTGGTCTCACTGCTTGTAAAGCGCTGCAGAATGCCAATTCCTCAAATCGATTATCTTCTCTGTCGTTTGTCTGCTGCTTCACTTGATTCAAGAGAGTCAATTAACGTTCTTTCTTCGCTGTTGCGCATGCGTGCGAGAAACAGTGTGGAGGTGGTGCGAGCTGTCTCCAGGAGAGCCGTGGAACATGTTGCAACGTACACTGCAAGGGATGTTATCTATGCACTAGAGGCGATTGCACTCCTAAACTGCTGCCATGAGTCTTACGCAGGAGCAGTTCTTAACCGGTGCATTGCCTTGCATGCGGAGCTTAAACCAGCAGAGCTCGGGAGCGTCTGTAAGTATGTGGCGATGCTGAATGTTTCACGGAGAAACAATGAGACGGCATTTTTTTGTTCGAAGGAGCTGCGTCGACTTCTTCCCGCTCTTTTACGTCGGGCGGAGCAATTACTTGGTCGCTTTTCGCTTAGAGATGCTCGCTGCGTGATGGGTTGCCTGCAGCAGCACAAAGTCCATCATTCTGTTGTATTTTCTCGTCTGACTCCTCTTGTCTCAGAGAATTGAGAGGACGCAAACGGGGGAAGAGCAATGAAACGAGGGGGGAAAGAAAAGGAAAAGAAGCGAAGTGTGAACAACGCATGCACTTGTGTACCCTAAAACAAGAAAAGGAGTTGTGCCAAAAAGTGGAGAAGCAAAACGAATTTTTTCTCTCTATATTTCTTCCCTCTCCGTGTGTTTTACTGTCTACCAATTTTATCTTTTTGGGGGGTCTTGCCCTTGTGCTTCTGCCTTTTGTCACCTGTGCGTTTGGGAAGCTCGTAAGAAGAAGGAGACACCAATGGAGGGAGTGGAGAAAGTCGCGGCGGAGAACCCGCTTCTTGACCGCCTACGCGAAAAGCATGCCGAACTTTTTCGGCAGCGCACGTCCGAATTGCAGAAGACCCTGGAGGCGGAACACTCATTTGCATCCAGGAAGATGCACAATCTTCCGCCATCGCTGGATTTGATATCCGATGAAATTATCATTGCGCTCAACGAAATTGGCACGCGCTGTGAGGAGTACGCGGTGCCGCAGGTGGGGCAACTCCTTAGGGACGTTAGAATGATGATGAATCGACAGCTTCGGGAGGCGTACGCCTCGCTGGAGGCGGGCTACAAATCCGCCTTTCACAAATTAGAAGAAGAGGCTGAGGGGTCCCGCCGACGGCCGGAGGCGAGCAGCACGGCACAAAAATCGGTGGGCAGGGCGATGTGGAAGTTACAGGCGGAATCAAGTCCCCCCAACGAGGAATCAAGCCAAAGTACATCTTCTTCCAAAGAACGACTAAGAAAGCGGAATACCGTACCGAAGACTCTGAGAGTGAGAGATACATTTTTGGCAACGTTGGGCTTCTTTGCGGAAACAACGGCTGTTTTGCTTCGCTGTGAAGTTGTTCGAATTTTTCTTTACGATGAATATGAGAACTTGAAATGTTGCGCTCGATTTCCCTTCAATAGCACTTTGGGCGATCCAACCTCGGGGAATGACATGGAGTTGATGCTCGCGAGGGAGTTGCATTCAACGGTCTGTAAAAAGTGTATTGCAGTCAACGGGAAGGAAGCGCGGCTTGTTGCCATGAGGGAGCGCGACCGTGATGCCTTGGAAGAGGAGCTTCAGCAACTTGGATGGCACTCCATGACGAGCTGTCTTATTTTTCCCATCTTTTCAAGTGCTGGCTGTGGACGGCCCTTTGGAATGATCCACGCAGTGAACAAACAAGGTGTCTCTTTCGACCGAACAGGTACGTTTGACGAGAATGACGAAGTTTTTATGTCTGTGACGGCGCGATTGCTTGGCTGTCTACTCACCCGTTACCCCACAAAATTGTTTGTGCTATCTGTGGGAGAAAAATTGCGGAACTGTATTCCCTCCTCATTAAAAGGGAATGAGGAGTCTCACTTGCCACCAATATTGCAGGATGAAGTCAAAGGGGCTGCAGAGGTTGGCAATAAGGCAAACCAGATGTTTACGCGCGTGTTATTGTACCGTGCACCAATCAACGTTATATATCAAACACGGTCACTGCGCAAGGAGGTCCGTAAGCTTGAATCACTGAATGTTATTGATAGGGCTCTTTCTACAGTAGAGTTTGATATTGCTGCGTTGGAAGAGCTTTGGCGAGTTGGACGTGAAGAAAATATTATTATGTATCAACAGTGCCAGCGGCTCAATGAGCAGTTGAACGCGCTTCAACTTTTACTTAGGAATGTTCTTGATGCCATTGGTGCATCACGGGTATTATGCAGCATGAGTGACTTGGTACGTTACATTCAGGCGCTGGAGGTTTATGCTCGCCAAGAGAATATTTCAATGATTACTGAATTAATTTCTGGGGTACTGATGAGCCCCCGAACTGGCGTATCTGTGCCACCGGAGTCGGGGGAAACCTCCTCTGATCGCCTCTCTCCCAGTGAGATGATTCGAATTGAGCGCCGTGTCGCCCAGACGCCACTCAAGCTGAAGTTTGGTGCTCAGGCACCGTCTAATGTCCGCACTTACTCGTACGATCCGGAAAAAAAGAGAGAGAAGGTAAGATTTCTTAACCAGCTTGCCGAGGAACGAGAAACGGATTTTGTTGCGAAGTTTGCAGTGAAACCGGTCGCGCGGCATGAGGCTGAAACAAAGGCGACGATTGCAAAGAAGGTAAATCAACCAGTCCCCTTTTTGGTGCAGTTTGGACCGACTGACTACGCGTCCAAGCGGCCCTTTCAAATTGGAAATAGTTAGTCTGACGAAGTCTTCATCTTCAATGTGAATTACCACCAACAGCGGCTGCCAATAAAGCTGTTGTCCTCTTATGTTTACGCTGCTTTCTTTCCTTTGTATATATATATATATATGTATTATATGTAATATGTGTGTGTGTGTGTGTGTGTGTGTGTGTGTCTGTAAGACAGAGTTTCTTTATTCACTTCTGTTTGTTTGAGTTTCTGTGCACGTGTGCTAGGCTGGGTTTTGTTATTTTTATTTTGCTTACAGGCACTCTCATCTTGTTGCAGGAAGCTCCCTTTTTTTTTTTTTTTTTTCTGCGCGAACGAAGGGAAAAAATTAAGTGAATATTCGAAAAAGTACAAAACAACAACAAAAAGAAGGGAAGGCGCTTTTCGGTTGCATCTCGGATTGCCACCTAAAAGTGACTGGGAGAGGAGGAAGAAGGGAGGTACGACGCAGTGCATGATGCTTTATGAGAGCAATGATGAATTGGCAGACGACATGGAGGAGAAGCTGCCGTACGTTGGACTCGTGAATCAAGGCAGTACTTGTTATTTAAACTCTGTTATACAGGCGCTCTTTCACCTGCCATCCTTTCGTCAGACGCTATACTTCATGGCGCATCCCGAGCGCGATCCCATTATATTGGCATTGAGGAATATATTTTCACAACTTCACTGTGCGACGCCGTTGGTATCAACGAAGGAGCTAACGGATGCCTTTGGATGGGGTGCCAACGACGCTTGGGTGCAGCACGATGTGCACGAAATGATGCAGAAGCTATTTGATCGTCTGGAAACTATCTGTAAAGGAACTCCTCAGGAGAATTTTATTCGTGATCTTTTTTACGGTGAATTAACGTATATTACGCGTGCCGTGGACGGTGTGGACTACATCTCGTACAGAAACGAAGGGTTTTATGACGTGGAACTGCTGGTGAAAAACATGGACACAATCTATGAATCCTTTGAACTCTGGGCCAAGCCCGAACGTATCGAGGGAGTCTCACTAGAGATAACTAAAGGGGGGCCCTGCACAAGTCACACAGTTGAGCGGAGTCAGCGTTTTGTGCGCCTGCCACCGGTTTTGCTAATTCACCCCAATCGCGCAGAGTTTTCTATGGAAACCTTTACGGTGAGAACACTGCCTGGTAAGTGGACATTTCCAACGTCTCTCAATCTTGAGCCGTATGTTCTTCCAATGGAATTGGAAAAAAATGGTGGAACTGGTTTGAGTCCTTTTTATGAATTACGTTCTATTGTAGTACACCAGGGTATTGCGGAAAATGGGCATTACTTTGCATATGTTCGTTTTGGGGATCAATGGGTCTGTTTTAACGATATGTATGTGTTTCGTGTATCAGAGGAAGCTGTCATGACTTCAGCTTCGTGTAGCAGCGACACGGAAAGCCTTAACAAGGGGTCCAATGAACGGGCATCACTTCTTGTTTATGTCAACACGTCAGTATCAAAGGACATATTGACTGAAGACTTTGTCCCTACGCATATTAAGGCGGTTGCGGAGGAGATATTAGCTGAACGTGAGCGCATACAAAGGGAAAGATGTGAGACTGTTACATTTCGATACATCACAGAAAGAGAGTCTCTTGTTGAAGCTTTGGATGATCCATATGACCCACCAGTTAATGTGAAAAGCACAAGCGTGCCTACCTTCTTTAGTATAGAAGAAGTTCATGCTGCCATTGCTGAAGACATTGGACAATCTCCCGATAGAATTCGTGTGTGGATGTACGATGGCGGCATCGCCGCTGATGTCTTTGAAGCTCATCTCCACAATGACACAAATCGTCGTGAGATTCTTTTTGTGGAGATCCTCCCGGATAAAAAGGAGAAGTTTTCTCAAATGTCAGTTGAAAACGCATTTTTTGCTCTTGTTCGCATTATTCATGAAGATTCACTGGGGCCTTGCAAAATCATTCACACGCGTAAGGATTTAGAGAGACTCATAGGGGAAAGCGAGGAGGAAAACAAGTGCTTGATTTGCTTGCAAGGCCCAAGTTTATGGGAGGTTTCGGTTGATAGGGTTTTGGTAGGCGGCAATGTGATATTGTGCCCAGTATCCATGAAAAAAGAGCATGCGTTGGAGTTGTTGCGTCAGCGTAAATTCAAGGAGGTTGAGGTTCTTCTTCTTGACCGTCGTGGTACGGGGATGTGGACGCCCACAGGCACCATTCGTCTTGATGCAAAGTCGTCTTATGTCGATGCGCAGAAGAAGGTTTATGAGCATTTGGTCGCGGCCCATCATTCTCCTCCAATATCTCCAGAGTACATTGGTTTTCACTGTGCTGGTTCCCACGCTCGAAATCCATCTATTGCCGTATTTCCGCCCTCCTTTTTGGGCTCTATGAAAGAGGGGATGGTTAGCCTCCTATGGCATGGCGAGGACACAATGGAGCTGTTTGTGACGCTACTTCCGGCCCCGTTGAGCTCCATTGACACACTGCGTGTTGTGTTGCTGAATGTTGGTGGGGGCATACGCCCCGCGGTGCACGTGGAGGGGAGGTCGTACAAATTAGGTGAACTATTTCGTCTTGCAATGCAACAGACATCTTCATGTCTCCCCACTGACCTGTTTAATTACATTATGTATCGCCTTCAGAAGCGCATTCCGGTGTTACGCCTCATTATGATTCCTAATGAAAAAAACCAACGTGTGTTTGAAAATGAGGATGATGAAGTGTTGGAGTGTATTGGTTTGTATGTGATGGATGTGCTTGCAGAGATAAGGAAAGGGTTTTTTCGGGTAGATGTCGTCTTTTATGATCGACGATCAGGGGAAGGGCGTTTTGGCTTCCCGACGAATATTGCGCTGACAGAGTCGTACAAAGAGACGGGGATGGAGATTGCCCAACGGGTGGCTGAGAAGATCAAAGCGACTGTAAGCGTAGAGGAGATTGGGCGATGGATTGTTGCTGTGAAGGGCAAATCCGGCGTTATTCGAACAGTTGGTCCAAAAGAAGTGCTGAAGAGCATTATGAAGGATCTTAATGAGGAGTTGGAGTGCTTGATGATCGATCGTCCACGATCACTCTTAATTGACGGCGTCGATGACGTTCGACAGGGCATTGAGCACTCCATCATTATTAAAGATCCTTCCTTGCAAGATTCGAGGTCAAAATCCGCGCAGCATGGGGAAATGTAAGGGCTTTGACTTATACGGGCGAAAGATCGAGAAAGAAACGTAGTGTGGATTGTTCTTTTTGACAGTCTTGTTTTTTTGTTTATTTTATTTGCTTCTCGTTGTTTTACTTGTGAAAGGTGTTGGGTGTAGGAACGAATTAAGACATATCCAATGTGCGTGAATTTAGTATTAAAGCAGGGTGAAACTGTTCACTCTTTGGCCAATAATGTAATTTTGGTAAGTGTTTTTTTTGTTTTGTTTTGTTTTTGAAGAGCCCTACTTCCTTATATATATACATATATATATATGTATATATATATATGACTTATTACTTTCTTTTACTGTCTTTTTTTCTTTTTTTTTTTATAGAGCCGCTTCAGATTTATTTTGTGTGTTTGTGTTTGTGCGTGTGCAGGCGTGGAGTTTTTTTTTACTTTTTTTTTTGCTGTTGATGTTTAGTTGAACTCTTTCGTTTGCAATGTGCTCTTGTGTGTATGAACCCATTCACTCACATGTCTGATTGCCCGTTTTTTTTTGTTTTTTTTTTTCTTCTGGGAGTGTGTGACGGAGGAATGCCCCCGAAGGGACGGGTGACTGCACCGGTGTCCCTGTCCCCCGCTGCAGCCAAGAACGGCATGGGGGGTAAGAATGATAAAAACAAGGAGGAGAAGCCCAAGAAACTGAATGCACAGCAGGTTGCCCTGAATAACGTTGTGGAGGTGGCAGATCGACTGTACAAGCAGCATGAGCAGGAACGAGTCAAGACGGAAACCGCCGATCAGATATCACGTCGGGGTGCCATACTTGACGCTGCCTTGGAGAAGGAGCGACTGAGAATAGACAAGGCTGAGCATGAAAAAATAGTGAAGGAAATGGAAGAACGGGAGCAACTTGCCTACAGGGAGTGTGAAAAACACCGCATATGGAGCCGTGTTCCACACGCCTCACGGCTCCCACAAGTTGATAGTGAAAGCTCCATCAACACCTTCCTTGCTGTCTGGCGTGATGAGGAGAGGGAGTATGACAAGCATACGCCTCTTGTCACTGTGATTAATAGACGAAATTCCGTCGGGGGAGGCCTACAGAATTATTATTTTATCAACGGAGAATTTGGCGTTTCCCCAGCGGCTCGCAAGAAGATGGTGGAGTCTGAACTCCAACAGTGTCTTGAGGCATACGAGTTAACAGAAGCCATCCGCTTGGAGGCTGATCGCTCTCTGACTCAACTAAAAATGGAGGATCTTACATTTTTCAGTAAAAACATCGGGAAGGTGTGTGAACAGGTGCTAAATTCATTAGACTTTATCACCATTCATGCCTTGCTTGGTTATGATGTCATACTGGAGGGTCCAAACAGTGAGTTCCTAACAATGAGCGTTCCACCAACAAATCCTGTGGTGAAGTACGGTCTCTGGGTGAAAGTGAAGGAGACGACACGCAGTTTTGCTTCCATGGTATTTCCCAACATCGCAATACGCCTGGACCCAAAATCCAGCGCCTTGCCAAAGCTCCCAAAGGCACTGGGATTGAGTAAGGAGAATGTTGCAGTTCGTGTTATTCAATTGGGGTTTAACCCGCACGAACACCATGGTTCCATTGGTCGAGAATTCTACGCGTTAAACTGTGTTATCAAATTAGACCTTTTAAATTTTACAGAGCGTCCAAAACATGTCGGGGATTGGCTTTATCGCTCTGAAACCGAAGAGGCTCACGCTTTACATTTGGTTCCATATCCCCCAGAAGTCTTGGAAAGCAATGAAGAAGATCTTTCACTTCGCGTTTCATTTGAGGCTCCAAACAGCATTGTTATGCGTCATTCATCATTGCTCATTGGGAAGTGGTTAGAAGCATCCAAAGACTGGGAGCCCTGCAGTCACACAAGCGCTTCTACGGACAGCACCGGAACTGAAGGCAGAAGATGTGTTTTTGCAACCTCAGAGTTTGCTACCTTCGCAGTTTTGCAAGAAAAGGGATTTGATGTCCCATACGAGCAGTGGCGACTACATCCTGTAAGCTTTGACCAAGTTCTGATGGTATTGGAGGGGCGTCGTCGCGGAGAAGGGAGTGATCGTGAGTTTCGTATACTTATCCAGGATGCGCAGTGCAAGCTCTTGGCTCCGGAGGACCCTGAGCTGGCTCATCTTCGGGAAAATTGGCTTGAACCTGCAACACTGATCCGTCTGCTTTCTCAAACCGGCTTTAACTTTCTTCTGGATGACGAAGATGCCAAATTTCTCGAAAACATTGTGCCAAAGACGTCTGCTCTGGAGGAAAAGGCGTATGCGGATATTGCGCAATTTTGTCTTTTTTACGCCATCGCAAGCTCGAGGCACAACAAATGCGGCGAGGATGCGGATTTGGCTTTGTTTCGTGTCTCCAAGCAGTCCCGTGCCCTTGACAACGATGAACGGCTGGAGGTTCAGTTGGACGAGGACTCGGATTGGCATAGCGTGCGGTACCAGACCCAATGTTGTGCCTTTGCCGCTATTAGGGAGTCAGACGAGGTTCCTGACCTGCACATTCTTGAGGGGCATGAGTCCCACTTTAACCTCTACACACTTCTCTTGCATGAGAAGGGCGAGGAAGTACGCCTACAGGCTGTTCACCACACCAATTTTCTTTTGCGGCGATGTGTTTTTCAGCTGCTCCGCCTGATCCGACCGTTGACGTGGGGTTAAGCGCGGATTCCGATGGGGAAAAACAGTGGGGACTCGGGGAAACCGTCATTTATATGTATAGCCACAAAAACCAAAGAAAAGCAAAAGCAAAACCAAAAAAAGAAAAAAAAAGAGAGAGAGAGAGAGAGAGGGAAAGAGAAGAGTATACCAAAAAAAAAAAAATAATAATAATAAAAGGCCGGGTACGAGGTTCTTCAGGATGGGGTGAGTTGGTGGGCGTATGGCTTTTTTTTTGTGTGTCTGTGTGTCTAATTTCTCTTGCTTTCTTGCTTTACTGCACAAACCAACGAATATGTACGCAACTGTTGTGTTTTCCTTTTGTATTTTATTTCTTTGGGCTTTCTATATTTATTTTTTTGTGTGTATGATTTTTTTTGTTTTGTTTTGCGTTTCTATTGGGATGTGTTGATGTTGAAACCGAAAGATATTTGCCTTTTTTTTTTTTTTTTTTTTTGACGTGTCCTTTACGATTTTATGAATTAATTTTGTTTTTTTATTGATCAGGTGTGTGGTGGGTTCGAGGCCTTAGAAAATGCGGCGCACAGCCCGCTTTCTGGTGTACGAAAAGTTTGAGGGCGCCGTTTCTGGGGACAAGGGTTACATGACGTATCAGCAGGCGTGCTCTATTTTTGGGTTTCAAATGAACGATAGGTTAGAGGCGGGGGAGATCAAGAAGCGGTTTAACAAACTAGTGCTTCGCTATCATCCCGACCGCGGCGGGTCAAGTGAACAGTTCCAGCTTCTCCGGGAGGCGCACAAGATTCTCTTGACACATCGCCATGACAAGGGGGACGGCGCCTCCGCGAAAGGCAGTTTTATAAACTTCAGACGCGTGAATTATGACAATGTGACGAATACGATTCACCGACAGACTGCGGAAAATCCGGAGTATCGCTCTTTTAGTCTTCAAGACATGGCATTTTTTTTCTTTTTCGTCACTGTTGTGATGGGTTTCTACTTGTATAGGGCATGGAGGACGCAGATGCAGATAATCCGTAGTAGGTGGAGCTACACGGAGGATCGCTTGACCACCGAGGCGACTCATCACGATGAGAAGTTGTGGCATCCGTGGCGCTCTGACCAAGGAACACGGGACATGATGGATAATATTGGCATCCTGCAGGGAAGCGTCAAACGTGAATTGGTGGAGGAAAAACGGCAGCTGGCTCCCTCTGTGTACATGCCATGGCAGCCAGGGGGTCCATTTGCGAGTGGACAACGAGTCGAGTCCGAGAGGGACACGCAGTTAAGTGGAGAAAAGCATTGAGTTTCTTCAAGATAACATGCCGTTTTTGTTGTTTAAGCGGAGGGAACTCAAACACTCGGGAAAAAGTAACAGCATGATGTTTTTATTGTTTTTTTTTTTTTTTTACTTCTTGTTGAACCGTTTTCTGCAGTTCACGTCATAAGGGAAAGCGAGAGAATTTACCTTTTTTTAATCTTTTTGACGTATTTTTCTTCCCGCTTAATTTTTTTAGATTTTTTTTTTTTTGTAGAATGGAGGAAATTAGTGGTGGGTGTGCGGAGGATGCAGGTGGCGAGGTCGGGCGGCTGCAAGAAGAGCTCAGGAAAGCAGAGGAGCGCATGCGGCTGTGGAAGGAGAAGACACAGGTTGCAGTGAATGAGTTGCGTGATCGTATTGTGAAACTCACTTCTGAACGCAACGAGTTGCAGGAGGCCTTCACGGAACTCAAAAATCATCAGGAGCAACAACGACAGCAAGATGCGGATGGTGGTTCGAAATATACCGCTGATGGAGCTTTGTCGTCGTCTTCATATTCTTCCCTCGTCTACGTCCCAGCCGCAACGATCGTGCGTGGTATAATGCAATGGACAATTGCGACTGTAGATGTCTTTTTTCCCATTTTGTTGAAGAAGTCAGAGTTTGCGTTGGGTCTGGCGGCCTGTACATCCCAGGAGTTAGACAAGTGTAAACGCCGCACAGCTCAAACGTTGCGATTACAGGCGAAAAACATTGAGGCACTGCAGTCAGAAATCTCTGGTCTTCAGCAGCAGTTAAACGAGGCGCTCGCAGAGGTCAGGGAGCGCAATCATGCGATTGATAGTCGTGACCAAGCACTTTCTGTCCTTCAAAATCGTCTGGAGGATCTTGAGGCGGCTAATTTGCGACTCGAGTCCTCACGAGTGCTGTTGAGCAATAAACCAAATGCGGAGCAAATCAATATGTTTGAAGAGCGTCTAGAAGAGGAATTGGAAAACGTGCGACGTGAATTTGTGTCCCGTGAGAATGTCATTTTTGATCAACACCGTGACGAAATTGAGAGGCTTTTGGCCAAACACGAGGAGGAGGTGGCGGAGCTGCGGGCTGAATTGGAGGAAAAAATACTTGCCGCGGAGACGGCGGTGGACGCGACAGCAGCAGCGAAGGTTGACGCCAATCTAGCAGACAGGAACAGCGAGGGGGCTTACATGGATCTTATGCGGGATTTTGAGGCTCTGCAGGATGAGCTGAAGGTGACGCAGGGAGAGAACGAGACAATTATGGCGGAGCTGCGGGAAGTGAGGGGAAAGTTGGCGCACTTTAACGGTAATGGTAATAGTAATGACAATTCGTCGGTGGCTTCTCAGAAGGAGCCTTTTACGCTACCGGAGGCGGCGGTGCGCATTGCAGAACTTGAGAGTGGGATGATGAGGCTCTCGGAGGAGTTGTGTGAGACGAAGAAACGGCTTATCGCGGCGAAGCATCAGGCTAATGCCAGGGATCTTAGTCGTTCGCATGTGTTGGAGGGACAACAGCTTTCTTATCTGAAGTGCATTGTTGTGAAATTGCTTGGCGCTACTGAATGCGGTGATGTGGGGAGAAATCTATTGCCAGTTCTTAGCACACTGTTGAACTTTAATTCGGAGGATCTGCAGGAGTTATATGCTGCGCACCCGGATTGGGTGAAACGAAGATTTTGATGGTGCTCATTGCCGTAAAATGGAGATTCTGCAGTTGATTCAGAGTGCATACGTTTTTTCTTCTTCCCACGATTGGCTTGTGGCAGTCGCAGACTTCTTTCTTCCTTTTTTTTTTTCTTTCCATACATATGTATATATATATATGTATGTATTTAAATAAATTTGTGTGTATTACATCTAAAGTGGTGCTGAAAGGTTTGGATGAACGGCACAGAGATGCCTCTGTTGGTATATTTGTATGCTCATGCCATATTCCTTTAAAAAAGGTTTTTTTTTTTCTGCATTATTGTTTTGCAAACAGGGGGGCCTTTTAGAAATGTATTATCTGCGCTCGCTTTTTTTTACACCCGAAGAAGTCTTTTCGCGGGAGCATGTGCGGAATGAAATTGCCCGCGAAAAACTCTCAAGGGCGAAGTTGCAGCGTAAGAGCGAAGAGGAGACCCACATGGCAGAGATGGAACGGCTGGATAATGAGCTGCGGGAAAAACGTGAATTGTTTGCGGCCGCCGCAAAGCCTCTGTTGGAGGAGTTCGATGACGTCTCGCTAGCGCAGCACTACTACCAGGAGATATCGAATATTGTGACGAGCCACCTGCATATTGTGTCACAGCTGGCCGATCGTGAGTTCAGCGAATTTGGCTACGTAAGCAAGAAGCTGATTTCCGTTAGTCTCAATCTTGCGGCGTTAAAATGTTGCATGATGGGCGGCGTGCCCTTTGAACGAGAGTTGAATACCCTCTTGAAGGATGCGGATAGCAGCGATTTGTCAATTGTTGCCACGCCATTGTGCCATGTGCGGAGCATTCCACCTGCAGCGAATGTTCGTGCTACTGCCTTTGATCTTGCACGGGCCATTGAGGAGGTAGGCAAAGATGGCCCAACGCGGGAACCTGTTCGAGGTTGGTTGGATCTCTTTAAGTTCCGCACGTCATTTAGCCCCACGATGCTAGAGACTCGGCAGGTTGAAGCACGGCGAGCGGCGAAGCAGTTTCTTTCTCACATTGAGCGCGGTGAGCACGACAAGGCGTTAGTTCTTGCGGAGGACGCGTACGTCAAGGTGGGCCACGAAGTGAGCGCCGCGAACGCGGTGCTTCTGGAGAGTGCTTTTGGGGCGTTTAGGGATACTGTGCTACCGGTGATTGCTTCCGACGTCTTCTTGCGATACGCTCGAGCTTCGCTTGACGCGTCTCGGTTTGCCTGCGTTGAGAAGATGTTGAAGGAATGAGGGATTTGGCTCTGTGGTTTGCGTGTGCATGCGTGAAAGGCTCCGTGTAACGCGGGCAATGGGTGGTCCGCGAAGCAAGGGAGGGGTTGTGCCCGTATTGTGCCAATTATTTTCTCCAATTCTTACATACGGATAGAAATGTCTGCATATGCATTTACGCAAATAGACATAATTACTTGCACTTTTTTTCTGTTTTGTTTTTTAGGTGTATATAAAGCGGTGCATTTGCGTGTAGTTATGTTCTTTCTGTTGCTCCTTTGTCACTTTTTTTTTTTTTTTTGCTTTTCTTTTTATTTATTTATTTTTTTGTTTGCTTGCTTGGATGAACAAATAAAATATGCTTACAAACGAATCTTATAAGTAAAGAACGAGATTTGGATTTTTTGGGAATGGTACACATTGTCGGCGCCGTAAAGCAACAACTGCGGGTGAGCCTTGATGAGCGTTCAGTTGCTGCGCTTGAGCGGGCATTTAATACTCTACAAGGGTTGAGGACGGGGTTTGTGTTCAGTGTCTTGCCATCGTCAACTGCTTTTAACGAACTGCATATACTCTGCTGTGAGGCAGCGATCGGTTTGGAGCAATGGGGCATGGCAGAAAGTTGCCTGAAGATTTTTACAGGGAAGCGGGCACCGACAAGGGCTTTGGATGCTCGCGCCCTGTATTGTGAAGGTCTTATCGGTTTACACAACATTCCCATCTCTTTCAGGGGAAGGGCAAAGGTGACGTCGCACTTGCGTTGTGCCACCAAAATTGTGACTGGGGTAAAAATTGCACTAGAAGAGTGGCCCAAAGAGGCGCACACGCTGGCTGTTGGCGTGGAACACTTGTGGTTGGCCATTCGTGATCTTTTCATCCCCGGGTCATTTGATAGCGTGCTGGATATCGTGGCCTTTGTTCTTGCGCTGCATGAGAAGCTTGGTCTTGGTGGTCCCTTTTCACAGCTCCAGTGGAGTACACGATATGCAATGTGTCTCCGAGGTGTCGGTCGCCATCAGGAGGCGGTCTCTCAATTATCTACGGCCTCAGAGCTGGTCTCAAGGGTTGGATCTGAGAGGTTGCAGTTGCAATTTCTACGTGTTCAAATTGCATTCTGGGCCAGCTTGCCCGCTACGCGTACCAAACAGGATTACACAAAACCAGTGCTTCAGGCCCTCTATGTGGCTCAGGCGTTTTTCTGCGGTATGATCGATGAGTTTAGTGCTACGGCAGACCTTATTGCTGCCCATGAAAAGCTACTTCTTGATCCGGAAAAGAAGGAAATAAAATTGAAAAGTCGAAAGACAATGGAAGCTGAAATCACCTTCAGTGACCCAGCTCTCGTGATGGATGTTCTTAGCGAGGTGGTGCTTGGGCTCGCGCTTTGTGGGGCGGATGAAGTGTGCAAGATAAGTTTACCAAGTTTGCTTCAAGGCGATAGTGTACGTCCTCGCTTGTTTGGTGAATTTGCTCAGGCTATTTTGAGGGCCCGCGCATGTGGTGCACTGGGCCTCGCCAAGGCGTTGGATGCCAGCTACCTCACCAGAACTATGGCGGATGCCCTGTTCAATTGCATCAAGGCCGTGGAGGGTACGATGGATAATGCACGCATGATTGAAGATCCTTCGGAGCGTGCGTATACGCTTCAAATTGGATGTGTTATTTTGTGGAATCTCTCTCTCCCCCTTCTTCAGTCGGAGACGCGTGGAAAGTTGCGTCACACTTTGAAACGCATTGTTGTGTTGTTGACAAATTATGGATCTTGTTTGACTGGGCTTCTTGTACATGTGGCGTATGAATCCAGTTTAATTGAGTTTGAGGAAGACAACCCAATTTCTGCCATTGAACAAATAGATCGGGCACTCTCTTTGAACCATTGTGTCGTCAATGCGGAAGGGAAAATGGTGTTTCCAATGGATTTTGCTCTCCTTAGCCTGAGGCGACGGTGTGTGGTGCGAAAGACCATTGACAGCAGTGTTTTTTCTGCTCGGGAGGACCAAGTCATCCATCTCATTGAACAGGCAAGAACCTCAAACTCTGCGTCGAATCGTCTTGTGCTCTTACAATCGGCAGTGAAAAAGCTCCCTCCCCTCGGCCAGGTGTTGGACCCTGGTACCCTGGCAAAGGAAAGGGTCCCATTTTTGCGTGAGCGTTCAAAATTTGGTCGAGCGAAAAAACATTCAGTTGTTGTTGAGCCACCGGAGGGTCAACCGCCGCGTGTGATTACAAATCCAGCAGCTGCACACATTTACTATCTTCTTCTCAAGGAGGCCAAAGAGGAAAAAAATCCATCTATGCATACAATTGTTGAAAAGGTGGCGAGTAGTCTAACTTGTATTGATGTACTTAATGAAGCGGATTCTAAGGAATTAATTGTTATGAAGGCAGAGGCGCATTTGAGTATGGCTGAGGTTTTGTTAAAAAACGAGAAGAGTTCTGGTGGGACTAGCTCTGACTCTACAGCCGACGCCTTGTCCCACATATCTGCAGCTGCGAAGATCAGTATTAAGCTGTGTGCGGCTGGTAACCGTGAAGAGTGGATAGCTGTGAATGCATGTCTGTCGTTGATTGGGTGGTATTCAGAGCTTTTCCGCAAGGGATTATTTCTTCCTGCCACAGTGGTTCTTGGAGAGCTTTATGTGGCATTGAATCAAACCCATGTGGATCCTAATAGAGAATACAAACTATTCCATGATATTTGCTTTGCCTACATCATGTCTGTCCTGCAATCGTACATCTCATCCAAAGGTGAAGTAGACGGGGAGCTGAGTTGTGGTAACTTGGCGGAAACGCTGCGAAAGACCTTTTTGTACCCTATTTGTGAGGCAAACAACCCCATGCTTCGACGGGCAGAGGAAGTATGTCGCGAGGTGATGGGTAAGTGGCGGCTACCTTCTCAGAGGAAAATGTTTTGTACACTGTTTGTTTGCATTCAACGTCTTCTTGATCGAAGTCCAGAGGATTCACATCACCCACAGGAACAGTTGTTATTTTTGCTTGGAAAATTGAATGGTCCCGTATCAATAGAGGAGAAACGGATTCTGGTGAACAAAGAATCTCTGGACTTATTGCGGATGGATCCTTCTGTGGAATTGTGTGGGAGGCTTGCAACACACAGCATGCAATTACCAGAGAATGAAAGGGTTACGCTGGAGCTTTGCCGTATTGCAGACCAGTTGTACCAGGATGGGAAACTTGGATGGGGAACGAAAACTCTAATCGGTAATCACACGGGTAAAGAAAAGGGTCATTCTCCCAATTCGGCTTCTTCCGCAGCGGTTCTTGCTAGAGGGGCATTTCCCAAACCGACGGAGGATGACTGGTACTGGTATTCGGATATCCTGCTTCACCAGGCGACGGTGCTTGGGCGCCTAGGAACGGGTACTGAACGGTCGAAGCGGCATGAGCTGGAAAAGCGGGTTATTGTGGCCATTACCAACAGTGCGATTGCCGCTTCTCATGGTCCAACGTGTACACGGGTTTCACAGATAACGGATGCATATTATGCTTTTTGTTGTACAGCAGACTATTTTAGTGGAGCACTGCGACAATTACTTCTCCCCAGTCTTCGCATACTCCTTTCACCGTCAATGCTATCAATACTTCCATTGTCTTCACGTGGCGGAGGGAGTAGCACTGAGGGTCATGCAGAACGCGAGGCGTTATTGCCTTTAATCACGACCATGGCTGGTATTTTCCTTACTACTCTATCAGAGAATGGTGCCCATGAAGAGGGGATAAAAACGCTCAATAATCTTCTTGCCGTCCTTCCGACGAAGTGTCATAAAGTTTTTCGGACGTATGAGGCGCAATTTCGCTCTAATTTGGGACTTTCGACGGCTCAATTAGTCAATAAGGTCAGAGGGGGTGATCCGGAAATTGAAGCAGCAGTCTGGGTTGCCATTGCAAAGAACGCGGCTGCGAACGCCGATAGTACAAAGAGTTGGTTGAAAGCGCTTGAAGTGTTGGAGCGCAAACCACTTCAAAGGGCTGATGCCCTTCTTCAAATGGCTGAATGGATGGCGACTCGTAATGCCGTTTCAAGGCATGAACTTATAACTCTTTTACTCTCCGCATTGGACTCCGTGGAGCGATTTAGCGACCCACAAATGAGTCGACTCCCCGAAGAAAGCATGCGAAAAGAAGGATCTTCGCGATCTTTGCGGCAAACGATGGCCTTTTCTCTCTCAGGACGCACCATCTGTTTGCCTGATGCCGGTTCCATGCGTTCCGGAAACAATTTAACAGGTGGTGTGGGCGAACCAGCGTCTCTTCGGGAGATCATGACTGCGATTAGAATTATGTATTTACTTTTTGTGGTAGCTCCAGAGAAACCTCTTGAGGAGCACACTTTTACTGTTTGCAAGCGCTCCTGTGCATCCACGATCCTTCACTACGTCTTTTGCATGTGGAATATTGTCTCGACTCTCATACGATCCAAAGACGCTGATAAAGAGAACGCTCTGAAAGAAAATTTATTGGAAATTCCAGAGGAATTTCATGCTTGGCAAGGCTTTTGTGCGGATCCGCAGCATATCGATTTTATTCGTGTTTCCTGCCAGGATGATGCCCCACAAAATACTGATAAGCTTTGGGGAATGTTATTTGATGTTTGTGAATTTCTTGTGGAAGAACATTGGGAGCAGTTTACATTCATGATCTTCAGTTGGATTGAATTTGCTGCAAATTGGCGATATGGGCCTCTTGATCCGCGCACTATGGCTGTTGTCCGTGCGGTTCGTTGTAAATGTCTTTTGGCAGGCGCTCGCAGTGGATGGGGAAATTTAAGTAGCATGTACCAGGTGGAGGCCCCAACTTCGGAGTATTGGTCTGCTATCCAAGAAATACTTCTTTCGGCAGAAAATTCTTCACATTTTTCACCCTGGCCTGATGGAGCACTGCGTTTTACCGACTTTAGGGGCAGTACCTGCTACTGTGTCTTGAGTGAGGCCGAGGATCTCTTCCTTCTTGGACGTGTGCAGGAAGCGTTACGGTGGAGCGGTAAGGTGCTAAATTGTGCGTTGCATATTGGCAACATTGATGCCGTAGTGCGCTGTCGTTTGCTGGAAGCGCGTGCACGTATATTGCGGGGTGAGGGGGCTGCGGTGGCCAAGCAACTATCTGAAATTGAAGAGGAATTTGTTGGTCTCACATTTCGATTATGGACGGAGCTGAACTTGGTGAGGGTTGATGCCTTGATCAGTTGTGGCCATGTGGAGAAGGCCATCAGTCTCGCGAGAAATTTACCGCAGGCCTTGGGACTCCGTTTGACGAAGATTGCTCCTGACGGGTTGGCTGGGGATATATCCAATGATTTATTAAAGGATTGTACCAGGCGAATATTGTGTGAGTGTGGTCGGCAACTTTTGGCTTTTTTGCGGCTTTCTCTCCGTCGATCCTCCTTTCCGGGGGAGAGTGAGGATGCAGCGCGAAAATATCTTGCAGAGGTGGGCGACCAACTACAAAAAATGGACGATTGGCAAAGTCTATCTACTGCTCTTTGTATTAAGCAGAATTTGCATCCTCCCATGGATGAGGTTCTTTTAACGACAGACGTTGAAAAAGGGAAGGAGCTACTGGAAATATTATATACGGAGTACTGTGAGGCCCTCCGGGTAACAGAGTTGATACGCAGTGAGATGAATGTGGTGGCACCTTTTTCTTTATACACAAAGAGCCTTGCGACTCACCCCAGTATTTTGAGGGCATATGACGAGGTTTTGGTTATCCGGGCTCGAAACTGCCTTGAGCGGGAGCTGCTGAGGGATTTTATCATACTGCAATACGACCAACTGTCGATGGAACAACTTGGCATTCCGACAGGAGGGCCGAGAAAATTGGATACTTCTGTGCTTCAATACATGCGAGATCCTGCGGCGTATGAGCAGATGAAAAAGAATATGACTGCAGGGAGCGGTAAGGAGTCATCGGAGAGGGGTTTTTATGAGGACTACAACCCGACGAGGGATCTGGAGTGCGCTCTAAACCACTTTTCTATTCCGCAGGCACATGTAGAGGGTGCAAGTAGCGCAGAAGCTGAAGCCATGCTGTCTCGCACAGTAAAACCCGATGGAGAGTGCACACCACTGCAAATGGAAGCCGTGATCTGTGTTGCTCTCGCTGAGTTTCAAAGACGGCTGAAGGCTCTTCTCCGGGCAGAGGACGCCACGTTAGCTGTAACATTAACAGGAGTGGCGCAGATAAGGGAAGACAAAGGGATTGGGTTCCGTGAGAACGACATGTTGACAAGGAAATGGGTTCGCCTTATCCCGAATATTGGGCAACTTGGTAGCCGGAGGGCAAGTCGGAAGAGGGCGTTATCGGTTAGTCGCAAGTCAAGGAAGTCATTCGTCACAGAGCCGCCAAAAAAAGAAGAGGGGCCTGTCAATCTCTGGGTGAATGAGGACAGTAACTTGCCGTTCATGATTCAACTGGGTGCCAAGCATGCTCGCCGGCTATTGGAATACAAGGAATTGGCAAAATGTTACATTTGCCTGGCTCACAACCTTGTTCTCTCTGATGACTATTGTGCTGCTGGAACCGCCATTGAATTCGCTCAGGCTGCCGAAATGTGTGGTTTTCTTTTAGACATTCAGTCGGCTCTTCTTCAGAGTTCACCAGAAAGCAACTTGATTCGGTTCCTAGAGCGGATGAAATTGAAGGCATCTTTTCTTTTAAATACTTCTGCCTTTGACAGTATGCGGAACCTGTTGATGAATACATCCAGTATGCTTAAACTCTTTGATATAGGGTGTGAATGGCCCGCGGAGCCAAATAAGCCTCAACCACTTTCTTCAGATTCTTGTGCTCTTAGCGTGGTGCGAGAGGAAAGCACAAGATACTTTCTCGTGGCCCTAAGGTGTCCAGAGGGTGGAGTACATAGTCGCAGAGTGCAGCTGGATATAAACTCTCTGATACAATGCGGTGACGAATTTGAGACATTCAAGCAGACCAAAAAGGTTGAAATCATCAATAAGAATGCCTCGGTCAAGGCTTCTTTGGAGGGAACAAGTGCTGCCTTACTAAAGTCCCTTTTGGATCGAGTTCAATATCTGTTAGCTCCACTTTGGGAAGATTTTAACGGAATATTGTCCTGGCTAGCGCCCAACTGCCATTTGTTTCTCTGCCTGGATCCCATCCTTCAGTCTCTACCACTAGAGCGACTGTCTCCATGTACGCAATTTTTGTCCGTTCAACGTGAACTGTCTGTTTTTTACATTCGGAATAAAATGTCAATTCGTGGAGGGAAGTCTTCATCGGGAGGAAGCCTTTTCATTGTGGATCCATTTGGGGAGCATGAGACGTCTTTGCAGACTCTATTTGGTCCAGAGTCTCGTCCCAAGGGAGCAACAAGTGAAGTTATCTGCTCTGTAAGGGATAAATATGGGGGTTTGTGCAACCCTTCTCAGCAGTATATACGTCAAGCGCTAACAGCAAATAGTCGCGGCATTCTTCTTGTTGATTTATGTGGTTCTTTTACTGATATTGTGAGTCCAGAGACCCTGATGGAGCTTAACTTGGAACACTTTCTTGCCGTTCTTGTGGCAGAAGGCACCAATGATAGTTCCCTGCGCCGTGAACAGAAACAGCGCACAAGCAAGACAACTCTGAGCCTGTATTACGAGAGACAGTTTATTTTCTCCCTCCTTCTTCTGGCACGTGGTGTACAGTGTGTTGTTACTAACGCCCTTCTTCCACTTTCTCCAGAAGAATGTGGTCTCATCTGCCGGCGCTGTTTGCCAGCAATTTTTGCTGGAGGTAAAGGCCTTTCCGAGGCCGTTCGTGGCGGCACGGGTGAAGGTGCGGATTCATTTGCCTCGGCGTTTTTATTTTACGGTGTACCCCCCACAGTGAAACAGAAGTAGGTCTTTTGTTGGTATGACTTGTGCTGTGTGTATTTTTTCTTTTCTTTTCTATTTGCTGTTACTGTGACGGTGTTTGTTTGCCCGCTCTTATTTTGTGTGTTTTTCTTTTTTTATCCTTTTGTTACGTGGTGTATGTATACTGCATGCTTTTTTCCAATGCGTATGTAAAAGGGAACGACCTTCATTGCGCGACCCCGCCTCGCTCCGCGCATGTGAGAAAGGAGTAATGAAGGACGGCATTCAAGGAGGAATAAAGAATTTACATTAAGGGGTTTACTTGTACTTATGTTTATATCTATATAGATGTTTTTATATTGTCTTTATTGTTTTTTTTTTTTTTTTTTTTTTACGTCTGTATACCTTCCTCAAGTCTTCTTGGCTTGTTGCTTCCATTTTACGTGCCTTCTTCTTTCTGTTGTTGTTTTTTTCTTTTTTTTTTTTCTGGCATACCCCTTTTTTCTGTGCTGCTTCCTTCCTTTTTTTTTTTCTTTTTTTTTTTTACGAAAAACGTTGTACTCTTGCCAGTAGTTATCGTGGCTTTGGTTGAAATAATTGTGGTGCCGCAATGGAGTTTCTTGTTGCCGATGCCGAGCGCATGTACACTGTGAACGGCAGGCTGCAGCATCTCTCGTACTGGTCTTACAAGATACTGGCGAGAAGTTTCTTGGAGAGCTACCAGAATCCCCCACTGCTGAATTCGAACAGAGCTGCACAAAACTTTAGCAAAGGCTCGGGTTATGTGGATTTTTGCACGTGGCATCGGTATTCGGAATTTGAGTGGCTGGCGGCACAGGTAGAGCTGGAGTTCCCCGGCATGCTTTTCCCACCGATTCCCTCAAAAGAGACGGACGGAACGGTGGACAAATTCACGGAGCTGCTCACCAGCGTGAAGGAAAACAACTCCACGACGAGGGAAAACCCGTTGGTGAAGAAACGCATGCGGCATCTACAATTGACGTTTAATGCCATCGCCCAGCTGCACGAACTTCATGAATCTCCTCTACTGAAGGCTTTTGTGACGCTAGATGAACTGAGCTGGTGCGCCTTTCGAGAGGAGCGAGAGAAGAAAATGAAAACATCGATCCTCACCATCTTCAAGGCCAAAGGTCTCAGTATAATTGCAAAATTGCGTTCATTCCGTGAATCGAGCAATCACGATTATACGCTGGATTCTCCTCTGGATTCCGTCGCAACGCGTCAGAGTGACCTGGGTGAACTCTTAAATACATGTTTTGCGCAAGTGGAATATATAAACAAGTATTGCATTAGTGAGTGGCGCCACTGGAGTGATGTGAATAAATTGCGTGGGTCCATTCAGGGATCCCCGATGCCGTGGACTGCGTGTTATGGTGGCCACCATGTCCAGCATTCCAAGCACCCAGGATTGGAAGGAGTTGTGCGAGAGATAAATAACGATGCTGCGGTGGTAGAGTGGAATGGACAGGGTGGGAAGTTGTCAAAAGTGCCGCTGGATGAGTTGAACTATCCATCATCGGGGATAAGTGATCCAGCCATTTTTGCACTACAAGAGCTTGCATCTCAAGTGGAGTCTTATTTCATGTATTTGAGTCGTTCATCTGGGGTTGCCGTGTTGAGGGATGTCGAGGATTTGTTGTGGTTTCTTTCCAGCTATGCGAATCGTTGCGTTCGTGTGATCAGGCGATTCAGGGAAATGCGCTCCGAGGTGCGGTACCTCACAAGAGTGGTTGAGAAAAAGGCGAGTGTGGAACAATTTGAACAACTTGAGCGGCTGAAGCAAATACTGTCGAAGGGGACATCGCGGTTTATGGAGCAATATAACAACTTTTATCGATGCTTTATGCGGAATTCTCTCATGGAGGTCGCACACAAATTTGGACGAGTGATAACAGTAATAATGTCTGACGATCAGTGGAATGAACGCCTCTCGGTGGCCAAAACGATGCTAACTCTTTCGTTACCCCTTTTACCAGAGGAAAGAGAGGAGATATTTGCAGAGGACGCGTCCAAGCGCGATTCTCCTCCAATGAAGCAAGTAAATGGATTGGAAGGTTAAGTTATTATTAGACATAATTATATATCTATATACATGTTTGTTTTTGGCCACGTGTGATGGAACGGCGGGACTACATTCTCTTAGCTGTAGATTCTGGCTGAGGGTGCGGCAAAGTGACGAAAAGGGGACTGAAAAAGCAAAAGCTAAAAAAGAAATATAGGGTGCACTGTGTTGACTGCAAGTTACAGAGGTGACGTGCGCGTAGTTTATTCTCCTCCATGAAGTTCTACATTGATTTTATCTTTATCTGGCGTGCGTAATTATAAATGGATGGGATCGGAGGGTGAAAGGGGCAGCAGAAAAGTAAATGAATGATAATTAACAGCTAACGATATATTTGTACACATATATCAATCTAGTTATCTATCAGTCATTATATATGTGTATATACCACTGGACGTGGATGCGCAAAAAGCTCTATGAAAACAGGTTGGTTTGCATTTTTGTTGGGTTGGGGAGGGTGGAAAGGAACTTGCTTCTTGTTTTTATTCTATTGTCAATGGTCTCTCTTATTGTTAGTTCTTATCGAATAGTTTGAAATGAATTTGGTTCGCCGTGTCTTTTCAAGCGGCTCAACGGTGCGGGCACTGCCCATCAGCGAGTCACCTGTTCTGCTTAACTACACTCTGTCAACTTTTCGCTGGCACTTGGATTCCCGACCAAGCAGTAAAGCCATTTTGGTTCACGATTTGTTTGGCTCAGCTGCTTCATGGCAGCAATTACTGAACGATGACCTCAGCAGGCTGCCTTTGTCACAATTCACTCCGACGACGCCACTGGAGTTGTACGCTGTGGAGCTGAGAGGGCACAACCATTCTAGGGGCCTCCCGTGCCCGAAAGATGGGGATAATTACACTTTGGCATCGGCTGCTGATGTTGTGTTGCATCAGAAGCAAGTTCTGCGGACGGAGGCAAAGTTGGTGGGTTTGGGCTTCGGTGCTCTTGTTGCTTGCCAGGCCGCGCTTCACTCTCCCAAATCCGGCTTTGATTCCTTAACGCTTATTGTGAACGAACCCTCGCAATTGCTCTGTTGCGACCCCTCAAATTACTCTTTGCCCTCCATCATTCGGGGGATGCCGAGGGGAATGAGATCGCTGGGTGAAGTTGAGGAGTACCTTAAGAAAACCGTAAACAATGCCGTTGAACGAGCGTTGATCTTTGCCGTTGTAGAACTGCAAGAAGGTGTGCCGGGTTTTCGCTTTAGCGATGATCTCTTGCATTTTCATGGCCCATTTAAGGGGGCTGCTGATATCGCGGAGGATATTACTTTTGAGAGGAGAGTTACAGTTGTTGTTTGTGGCAATGAGGCGGTCCCACAGGATGCGAGGGAACGCTTCACCAAGCATTTTCCTCGTGCAACATTTGTGCAATTTCAGGGAGGCTCGAATCCGGGGATTACGGGTCTGTACAAGCAGGGCACCAATTTTATTTGTACCTTTCTTGAGGCGCTGGAAATGCTTGGTACTGTCGATGGGGGAGAGAAGGAGGAAAAGTAGAATATACATTTTTTGGAGCTGCTTCTGCTGCTGCTCGTGGTGAATAATTCGTTGGCGTGTGAGTCTCGCGGGTAGTTTGTAATGCATTCGAACTTGTTTTTTTTTTTTTTTTTATTCTAACAATTTCTCTGTTTTGTGCTTCGCACCTTGTCTGGGGGTTGTGTTGCACGCAACGATGTCGCACGTGTGTGTTTTTTGTGGCTTTTTTTTTTTTTTTTGCTTCTCTCAAGTTTTTATTTTTATTTTTATTTTTATTTATTGCCACGTACCTGCACTGTTTCTCCGCATGCACCTTTGCTATTGTTATCTTGTCTTGTTTTTCTTTTTGTTTTTGAACGGCCTCTTTTATTTACATGCGTCTGTGTGTTTGTGTTAAAAGAAAGGCACGATCGCCACTGTTTTTTTAGGAATTTTTTTATTCACCGCATCTAAAAAGAAAAAAAGAAAACATAAAAAAGGGAGAGCGCGCGAGAGGGATATTGAGTGAATATGAAGTGTTCTACCCCGCTGTTTTTACTTGTTTTATTCCTCTTTGCCGTCGTTCATCCATCATTGGCCATTCACGAGGATGAGCAGGGGCTTAGGGACTGGATATTGCGCTTTGTTGGCCACGTGGATCACGCGTCCTATCAACCTGGTCTGCAGCCGAATCACGTGTATTTGGCCTCAAAGCCGGGGGCTGTTGCCGCCCTGTCACTCAGTGATGGAGGCCTGCAGTGGAGGAAACTGCTTTCCGAGCCGCAGGTGTGCGTAGCGGCAAGCAAAAATGAAGTGTTGGTCTCTTCTCGCTCAGGAACGGTGCATCTTTTGAATGCCGCAAATGGGGAAATTGAGAGAACATTCAAACTGTCGCTGCCAATTGGTTCCACTGTAGAATCATGCGCCATTGTGGAAGGAAAAGTGAGGGTTGCCGCAATGGACACAATAACAGCCTACATTTATGAGTTTGGATTGGTGACAGAGGATGATATGATGAAGCCCAGGAATAATTTCCCCATTGGGACCGATGTGCATGCACTGCGCATCAGCGGCAAACACATATGGGCACTTCGAACATCGAGCGCCAATCGCTACTCTCTCACAGGGGACGTAGAAATGACTGACGTGGAGGGCGGCAGTTATGGCAGCTCCGTCACGGCCTCTGGGGATGCAGTTGTATTTTCAGGCACAAGGATAGCCGTGGTGCGGGATGACGGAAAGACGGAAAATATTGCCTGTGAGAATTGTGACGTTGGTGTGCTTTATAGCACCACAGGCAAATTTGAGGGTACGGTGAAAACAACAGCCGATAAACTTGGCTTTACGGTTTTTTTTCCCGGATCTAATGTTCACGTTGCGTACGATTCCGCCGCAATTATTGCCCCAACCGTCCTTCTTGCGGTAAGGGATAGATTGCATGGGGCGCAGGTAATTCTTCGAACTTCTAATGGTCATATTCTTGCAGTCTCGGAAAAATCCGGTAAGATGTGGGAGCGCTTAGAGGGGCTTGCACATCTTTCTGCCACCGTGATTGCCGACAACCCGGCGCATGAGGACCACTTTTCCTTTAACAAGGTGGCATTAGCAATCTCTACGTATGGCGTGTTTTACACCATTCCCATTTCAGAGATGGGGCATAACATCCGCGTACTATCCGATATTTCCGACGTGATTTTACAGAAGACGGCTGCAAGTTCTATGGAGTCTGTGAAGATTGAACGTATGTTCCTCTCAGGGACAAATGTTGTTACTGTCGTTGTCGCCTCTCCGGAAAAAAGAGTGAGTCTTGCTGTTGACTATTCCACGGGGTCTGTAATGGAGGTAAAGGTACATGAGAATTCATTGTTTGTTTCACCAACATTTGAGGTAACGCGTTCGCTGGAGCTTCATGGAGCCGTTTCTTATAATAATATGCACTTCTTTACAGCAAACGTAAGCAGTGGCCTTATTGAGGGGTACGCCGTTTCCGAGTCATCCGAGGTTGTTCCACTCTGGACGGTGCGCATGCCGTATCCTTTGGTCGCTTACGCCACAGGAGAGGATATACTCCGTACGAAGACTGTTAATCATTTACGCGTTTTTCCAAACAAAACTAGTCAGGCAGATGAGGTTCGTCGGAAGTATCCCACACGCAATGTCTTTGTCGTTGCCCACTACGAACCCTCTGAGGACGAGTTGACGACACTAGTCGTCACCGCTATCGATTCTGTTACTGGAAGTGTGCTGGCAACTGCACGTCACCGCAACGTGGAGGGTCCTGTGCACATGCTTGTTGTAGAGCATGCGGTTTTGTACTACTACATGGACATGGAGAAGGTTCGACATTGTATTGGCGTGTGGGAAATGTTTGAGGAGGAGCCCGGCCGTGTTCTTCGCAAGGATGCCGGCGCCACCATACCGCAAGTCATTGCCTCCTTTTTTTCCCGCTTCAAAAGGACGTTCAGTTCGCGTGCCACTCGTCCGCCCGTGGTGACTGTTGCCGTTCTCGGCGTGTACGGAGGAAATCTTGCCACAATGGGCGTCACAACGTCTTTTAATGGCATTTCTCGCAAGAGCGTTGTGCTCGCCTTTGACTCGGGTCGTATCGCTACGGTGGAACTGAATAGACTCCTGGCGGGTGGACAATTGCCCCTTGACGACAAGGGCAATCAAGCCACACATGTCATCATCCCGAGCACTTCTTTGGCTTCGCACAAACTCCGAGTGGCAAAACCGAGCCTTATTGCCACAACGCCCACAAATTTGGAGAGTTCATGCCACGTGTTGGTGTCCGGTTTGGATATCTTTTACGTGCGCGCTTCCTCGGGGAAGGCGTTTGATCTCCTTAATAGCGACTTCAATAAGAACCTTTTGATAACACTTACATGCGGTTTTGGCGTTCTCACTTGTGCGGCACGTTACTTTGTCAGGCGGAAAGCCCTCAATCTGCTTTGGAAGTAAAACTTAAAAAAAAACAACAAAAAGAGAGAAAAGAGAGAGAGAAAAGAGAGAGAGAGAGAAGAGAGGAAAAAAAAAGAGGATGGGCGACGCGAACGCAAAATTATGAAAGAGACTAATAATTGGATGTTGTGCGTAAACGGATTGTGTTATTGGCGGAAATAAATAGCTCGCAAAATAAAGATATTGCATGATTCTTTTTTTTTGTGTGTGTGTGTGCGTGTCTCATGTGACGCACAAGAGGAGTAGTTTTGAAAAACTTTTTAAATTTTCCCTGCAATCATCTCATTAAAAATAAATTGCATGGCTTTTTGTTGTTGTTGTTGTTGTTGGTCTTTCTTTTTTTATTTTTGTGGTGTTGACGGTCTTGGGGGAACGCAAGGAAGGGAGGAGGAAGGAGGCACTTTTATCTCCCATCTGGCGGAGGCGAGGCGTAAAAAAAAATATTTTTTTTTTTGGCCATGCCGTATAACTTTCTTAGACCAAATCGATTATACACGAGTGAAGAGAAGGTGGCGGAGGAGGAGAACAAGGAATGTGACGATGATAATAATGACGTGAAGATTCAACGGGAGTTAAATGCTTGGCGCCTGCATATGCGTGAGGAGCGGCGACGGCGTCTTCTTGCGGCGGCCTCGAGGGCGGAACGAACACGAACTGCTGAGGAGCCGTCTGCATCTCACGTCTCACCTCGGGAGTCAAGTCATGAGGCTGGCCGTGGGGGTGAATCGCATCACCAAGAGTTGACGGCGCTGCAGCAGTACCGCAGAGAATTGGGCGAGGTGACATCTGGGGTGCAAAAGGGAAGGAATAGCCTTTGGAATTTGCGTGTACCCATTCGGCGGCAGCGGCGCGTAAAAACAAACCGGGTCACATATCATGAAGCGCGAAGCGTGCTTAGGGACTACATTCATCGTCCCCCACCACCTCCTGCAAATGTGCAGAAAACACCCATCGGGACGCTTCGAGCGTACAAGGACGCGCTTGCCTTCTCCGCGAGGGCCTGCAGTGAGGCGCCCACGTCACCCCCGTTGTGGCACCAACGGCCTTTGCGTAACATCAGTGTGCATAGGCGACGAAATGATTTTTCGAAGTTCACTTCGGTTTCAACAACACGGTCGACGACTCTACGAAGGAAACACACCGAGTCATCATTTGCGAATCGTCACGTCGATCGCAAGTTGAAATGGTGTCAATGTGACGTTCAACGAAAACGGAACGGCGACCCGTCGAAGCGTTCTTTCCGGCCCGTGCTAGAAGCAACACAGGCCTACCGAAGTGCGATCAAGCAAGAGGAGGAAAAGTACAATCAGCATCGGCAATGCCACGAAAAAAGATTTCCTTTTGAAAAGGAACCCTCTCCACAAAGCAGTGTGTCATCGCAATGTCTAAGTTCACGAAGATCCGCGACGCAGCCGATGGTTACACACGCCATAGATTCTCCTCAAGCGCGTCAGCCGTCACACATCTCGTATATCCGCCACGGCGTGGAACCAGAAGAACCGTTCCACAACCCCGTGGTAAACCCCCCGGCGGCTGAGGAGGCCGTTTCTCCCCAAACGTCTGCGCTCAGTGGGACGGGCACAGCATCTCATTATGAAGAGCGTTCTAGACGTGAGTCCTCGCCGCTGCTGAGGAAATTACTTAGCAAACTGACGCTCTCTTCTCCATCACTCTACCGTCCTGACTTGTATCAGGGCAATACGATACCATTCACTTCTCCTGTTGCTCGAACCGTTGAACCCCATCCGTGGCCCCCAGTTGGCGCGAAGGGCCAGGGATAACTTTTTTTTTTTTTTTTTTTTTGCGATGGCCCCTACTTTAGGTTCCAAGACCGACGCACATACACGCGCGTATGCGTGAAAAAAAGGGGGGTTAACTGGTGAAAAGCCGTTTCATGTAATGTCAACATGATCCGTTTTTATCACTGTTTCCTTGAATAAATAGAAGCAAGAAATCGAGGAAATGAGATGAAAAAGAGGGTTAGTACCCAGAGTTGAGTGCACGCTGTTTTCCTTTGACCCATCTTAACGCAACCTCTTTTCTCAGTTTTGATGCTGCCCTGGCGCTGTTCACATCTTTTTTTTTTTTTTTTTTTAGAGAAGACAGAGAGGCAGACGAGTTTTGGGGGTGATATAGACGGTGAGGTATTATACACATACCGACACAAAAACAGGGAACACAGAATCAAACATATATATATCTTTATGGATGCCTTGTCCACGGGCTTTTGTGCGAGCGCCATGAAGGGCGTACTTCCGCACGGTCCGGGGGAGAGCTGGGCCTCGCTCTGGCCTTCACCCAGAGTCCAAGTCGTGGACATTCAGCGGTATCCAAAGATTGTGACGGAGCCATTTGTGGTGTCGCGCTTTTATGTTGCAGTGTCAGACTCAGCTTCGCTTATTTGGCTTGTTGTTCCTCCTGGGAGTGAAATGGAGGAGCTGATTGATACCTTTCAAATCGAAGTGGGATCCTGTATCACGCTGAATGAGTATAGCGTGGTGGCAGCAAAAAATGCATTGAATGTGGTTGTACCCCTTTCGATAACTTATTCAGGGAATGAGCTTTCCCTATTGGGGAACCCAACGGTTGAAGAAACTCTCTTTTGCCTGTCAACAGAGGCCCTTACCAAACGACGGGGAGCCGTAAAACCCAACTTTTCTCGCGCAATTGAATCGTATATGAAAATAAGCCTCATTGACTTTGTGGATGCAAAGGGACACGAATTGGAGGACTACGCACTGGATCTGCGAATAATATGGAAAGGGAAACAAAGACACCTTACAGCAAGTGGTTCAATGGGGCGTTTTGTATTTGATTGTATAGGAGTAGATCGCAATGGTGATGCAGTGTCTATTTCTTGTACGGGACAATCGGGTCTTTACGACATATTTTCATTGGGGGATTGTGTTTGCGTGACAAACGCATGTCTTACAAGCCGCAGTGAAGCCGAGGATACGATGCGATTGCAACTCAACGAGCGATCATTTGTTGTGTTGCGTGGGGAAGAGGCAGTGAGTAACATTCCAACACATCCCTGTCGGATGTTTGGTGCGAGATCGGTGACAAATCTCATAAACTATAGCAACGTTGGCGACATTGTTCATGTGGAGGGAGTGGTGACGTCCGTGTCTTCCGCGGCACTGGTAAACACAAGACGGGGGCGGGTCGAGCGCTCGGGGATCTCGTTACAGGATCCTGCTTCCTCATCTCTTATTGACGTGACGCTCTGGGAAGAGTTTTCGCGGAGTGTCAGACCAAATGTGGGTGAGAGGTGGTGTTTTTGTGGATTTGTTGTTGGTGAGTTTATGCGGCGACTCACACTTTCCAGCAGGTACGGAAGTGGGGCATTTCAGATGAAGATGACGCCAGAGAAGTCATTGTTACCTGTGAACCGCACGGAAAAAATTCCATTTATGTCTCTGGAAAATAAGGACTCACTGCAGGTGGTTCTTGACCTGGAGGAGGCCTCCGAGACGTTACCGGTTCTGGCCAAAATACAACGCGTACGGGTTCCCCTTACATATGTGGCTTGTCGAGGTTGCGGTAAGCAGATTCGCAGCAAAGCCTCATCTTGTGCAGCGTGTGGCGGGAGCACGCTGGAGGAGCGTTTTTTTGTCCGGCTGGAGTTATCTGACGGTATTTGTGCGGTGTCTGCTGTTGGCTTTGCGCAGATTGGGGAGACGTTGTTTGGCATGGATTTGCCAACGCTGATGAAGCAGCGGGAGGAGTCGCCTGGCTTTGAGGGAAATATTGCTCGGGATGTCGTTGGTCTCCCGCTGCTGTTTTGGTTGCTGCGCTCACCCGATGACAGCCTGTTGCATGTTGTGAAGTGCCAGCACATTGACATGGCTCGCTGTGCGGCGACGCTGCTGGGTGCTCTTGCGCAGATGATGGGGCCGAGTTTTGACGCGTCACGAACAGAGTAGACGGGAATGAAACTACAATCAGGAGAATGAAAAAAAAAAAAAAAATGCGTTGCTATTAAAAGATGACAGAGCCGTTCAAGTGAATGGACGGACTGGAAGAGGCAAAGGTGTTTTGATTCTTTTTGCGCCCCACGGTGTGTGTGTGTGTGTGTGTGCTGCAACCGACAGATGCACCCACATTGTCTGCTCCAAACACCTTTTTGGTCGCTACGGGCTTGGCGTCAGCGATGCGTGCATACACGCACACAAAACCGGCAACTGTATTGCTGTCGTCGTGGCACGGAATTATGCGTTCCGCTCTTCTGCGCTCTTTTTTTTTTTTTTTTGCGGTTGTCCAAAAGTTGAGGAGGGACGCCACACAAAAAAGGGGAGGAATTGAAAAGAGAAAACCAACAACAACAACCCCACCAAAAAAAGGTCAAATACATCTGACAATAGCGTCATTTATTATTATTATTATTATTATTATTATTATTATTATTATTATTATTATTATTATTATTATTATTATTATTATTATTATTATTATTATTATTATTATTATTTATTTTTTGACTTCCCCGAGGAAAATAAAGAAGAAAAATAAAAAAACTTCACGCAGTATTGATGGGTCGGTTGAATTCCGCTGTGGCCGAGGGCTGTGTCGCCGTCACTGAAAAGGCACTGAAAAGGCGGCTGGGGATTACGGCCAATCGTGCACATCAAAGTGAACGGACGGTTGAATTTACCTTTACTGCGAGCAAGGATCGGCTGGGTGAGATATCTTCTGCTCTCTTCAAGGAATTTGTGCAGGCGGCGTGCGGTTCAGAACAGGGGAGGACCAAATTAGGCTCAGTTGACGTCTCTGTTGATGCCCAAAAGGGACTCCAATCGGTTCTTTTTACAGATGTTGTTCGAGTGCACAACTTCAGGTTTGACGAACTGCCGGACGATAGCCCCGCAATCACTGCGGTGGCGGAGGCGACATATTTCCGCTATCTTGCGAAGCACTCCGACGCTCAGGCTTATGCAGTAACAGAGTTTCCCAAATGTTTGACCGCTAAAGGTGGACCGCGACTTGATGTTATTATTGCTGGTTACGTTCTATTCTCTTTGCTCTCTGATGACGGCGATGAAGTGAAACTTCGCATGTATATCAAAAACATTGACGAAGTCCTTGGCACAATGTGTACCTCTTCTTTTGCCAGCACGGTTTTGCCGCATTCCTGGAGTAATCTTGACCAGTTGGAGCCACACCAGCTGGTGGACCTGCTGGAAGAGACACAATTGGCGATAAGTGACTTTTGGACCGACAGTGCACAAGATACTCGGGCTCGCTCGCAGGTTATCTTCCTTATGACGACTATTGGCTCTGAATTGCGGGAGTACTTTTCCAAAAAGACTCTTGCGGCGGGAGGTGTTTTTGGTGACAGCAAAAGTGCCACAGAGATGGCTCTAAGCTGCTGTGATGATTGGGTTAATATGTGCCGCAATTTGACTACCATTGATTGGGGCGCCGTTTGGGGAGGTCGTTTTGAGGATTTGCAACTTCGGGTAGTGTGTGACAGGCTGCGGGTTGTGGCCTCTCTTCGCGATTTGGTTGGTGAGATGGTGGAGCTACTTAATGCATCAGGCGAGTTACACTTCCTGCGAAAGGAGACTCTGTGGGAGGCAATGGAGAGCATTGATATCTTTCAAACGACAGCTGCGGTCGAGAAGCAGTGGGACGCCGCTCTGAGTGCATTCTACAGACGCTTGGAACCGGTTGAACACCGATGCGCAGCCGCCCTGCGCGATTTTTTTGGTGAGCGCGGCAATTTGGCTCCGCAGACAATCCTCAATGAGGTGGTGAAGTTCCGACAACTTATTCGGCGTCCCGTTGTTGCGAAGGAACTTGTGAGTGAACGGGATGCTCTTCTGGCAAAATTGAATGAGCGCCTACAGGGTATTCGTTTAGAGTTTGAACATCGTTCGGAGAGCACTGAAGATGATTTGTTTCTCGAGGACGAGGACCGGCGTTGCCAGACGGGACGTTTTATGCCCGGTGTTGTGAACAATATGATTTGGCTCCGTCAGCTTCGAGGACGAGTGGAGGAGATGATCAAAATGTGTAAATCACTTCTTCTGGACTTGCAGAACGCCAGGGAATTTGTCCTGGCCGCAGATACACTTTTAGAGGAAATCGGAGATTATGAACTGGAGTTATATAAACATTGGGCGATGGATGTGGAGGATAACAGCCATGCACTCATTTTGGATGCCAATGCACCATTGATGGACATTGATGCGAATGGGCGGGTGGAGGTGAATTATCCTGAACGTCTGGTACAACTTATTAGAGAGGTGCGTATCTTTCGAGGCTTGGGTCTTCGTATTACCGGTGAAATTCAGAGAATGGTGGATCAGGGAATTTGTTTTTATCGAAATGGTGTATCCTTGAAGCAAATTGCAAGCACATACAACTCCATGACGAAAGATATTATTCCTTGTACACGTGCCATGCTGTTGGAGCCGGCGTTGTTCTTTGAGAATATCATCACCGCCAGTGGAGACCGTAAGCTGACGTGGCGAAACGTGGAGGATGCGGAACGATTTATTGGGAAGTTGCGTACAGCGTCTCAATCCTTGACGGATTCCAACCGCCGTCTTCACAGGCTGCATAAAGAGATTGAGGCCATTGTGGTGGAGCTTTTTAGCGTGGATTTACTGCGTTCACGTGAGCGGTGGATGGGGAAAGTTCACACCATTCGGGAGAAAATGGAAATGTCCGGATTTAAAAACATGGAGACATGGAAGCTTTTTTGGGATGTGCAACTGTACAAAGCCATGGAGTATCAGTATCAGTTGGGACTGGAGAGCCTGCACGAGGTTGTGGCCGAGATGAAGGCCGACATTGTGTATGATCAGGAAACAGGATTGGCGGCATTACGGCCCTCATTGGAGGTCATCCGTGGGCAATACTACCAACGCATCAAGGACTTTATGACTTTCCCGCTTGGATTTCGGGGGTGCGGTGAAAATGAGTTTTTTAAAGAGATGCCAGCGCGCAATGAACGTGGTATTTTTGCTGTCATGCAACACGCCGCACAACTTTTCAAGAAGGTTCAACAGGAATTGAAACGGTTCCATCCATTACTCATTATTGGGCAATGTGGAAGGAACGGGAATCCATCACTGGAGGAAATTGTGGGGAAGACCTTAACCGAAGTGCAGCATTGGGAACAGGGCATTCGGTTGCTCAAACAAAAAGGTAAAGAAATCAACGCAGAGGAGCTTTTCATTAAATGTGGTTGCATCACACTGTGCACAGCCAGTATTAAAGGAACCGTTGAGGATCACTTGTACAAACTCTCTGAAGTTCTTCGAGTTACATTGCGTCGAAGTGCTGAAAATCACTTGCGTCGGATCGATGCATATCTTGTGGAGGTTTCAGGGTCATTGGACTCCACGCTGACAAAGTTGGATGAGATTGGTGCTGCCAATGTTCACCACGCGTACTTGGTGGAGCAACGACCAGCAATGGAAGTTGAATTTTACCACTTTTACAACAAGAATATGCTTCTGCAAAACATGGCCAATCGTGCGGGTCTTGACTTTGCCAAGACGAGGGATGAGTGGGATCGGGTAATGCACCGTCTTGACTCCTACGAGAGTGAGATGGAAGAACAAATGGACAAACTAAAGGGTGTTATAGAGGAATCTGTCAAGAGTTGGCAAAAGAAACTGGAACGCTTCACCAATCAATGGCATGAGCTTAAGCCGAAAAGTGCTGATTCACCCAATGCCGTGCAGTTTGTGAAAGATCAACAGGAAAAATTTAAAGCCCTAGAGGCAGAGGGAGAGGAATGTGTCCAGCAGTGCAAATACTTCCAGCTAGAGGAGCCCGATATTGAGCCTTTGCACGACCTTGGACGCGATATTGAGGAATATGCATTGATGTGGAGCATGGTAGGGAAATTTAATGAAGAGCTGGGTGTATTACGGGCCGAACCGTGGCTTGCTTTACGGGCGAAACTATACAGATTTGATGATTTGATAAAGGTTTGGCAAGAGAAACTGAAAGAGATTCCAAATAACCCTATTACCGTTCAGATTCGTACGCTTCTTGACTCATGGAGCCGTTGTGCGCCACTCTTTAAGTTTGTCCGTGGGGACGGGTTTACACCGGGTCATTGGGTGGAACTTTTTCGCCTTCTTGGGACTCCCAACGCCACACAGGACACACTTCAGTTTGGTGACATAATTGACCGTTACGAGAACATTTTGAGACATGAGATGGAATTGAAGAAGTTGCATTCACGTGCTCAAGGTGAGGCACAGATTAGAGAGGCCCTCGATGACGTAAGATCGTGGGGAACGAATGCAAAATTTACACTTTGTGCCCATCCTGAGCGTCCTGGTGTGATGCTTATTACGGAATGGAAGGACACTCTCTCCGCTCTCAGCGACAACCAGGCACTTCTTTTAAGTATGAAGGAATCGCCGTATTTTAGCATTTTCGCCAGTGATGCTAATAAATGGGAGGAAAGATTGGCATGCCTGGACGAGTACCTTCGTAGCATGAACCAAATTCAACGCAAATGGGTATATCTTGAGCCCATTTTCCGTCGTGGTGCACTGCCCCAAGAACAGGAGCGTTTTGCGCGCATTGATAAGGAGTACCTTCAGGTGATGCATACCATTGCGAAGGACAGTCGTATTGTCCCTCTGGCAACCCACAAAGAGTACAAGGAAGTTTTGCGCAACGTTTTGGAGCAACTTGATCGCTGTCAGAGGGCGCTTAATCAGTACCTGGAGGCAAAACGTGATAGTTTCCCTCGGTTTTATTTTATTAGTGACGACGACTTACTTGAAGTTCTCGCACAAAGTCGCAACCCTCTTGTCATTCAATCCCATTTGAAGAAGTTGTTTATGGGCATCCACGGTGTTCGCTTTGATACACAGAAGGAACATATCCTACAAATTCATTCACTGGAAGGGGAGACAGTGCAACTTGAGGAACCCGTGCGCATCACCGATGAGGTGGAGGAGTGGTTATCAAAATTAGATGTTGCGATGAAAGATACACTTCGGGTGCATTTGGTGCGATGCCTGGAGAAGCTGGACATTGGCGCGTACGCCACACAAATTCTTTGCACCGCCGGGATGATTGATTTTACCAAAAAGACGGAAGGGGCTATTCGAGAGTCCAAGGTGAGTGGCCTTTTAAAGCTTAAGGCAAACTTGCAATCCCAGTTGCGTGATTTGACAATATACACCGGCGGCAGCAGTGATTTGGTTGTTGTTCTTAAACTGAAATCACTTATTATGGATCTTATTCATAACATCGAGGTTGTAGATATACTGATTCGAAACGGTGTTGAAAAAGAAACCGACTGGCTGTGGAGAAAACAGTTACGATATTATTTGGATCATAACAATAACTGTGTTTTGCGCATGGTAGACGCAGAGTTCAATTACAGCTATGAGTACCAGGGTAACGCTCCAAAACTCGTACATACCCCACTAACGGACCGTTGTTATTTGACTCTGACGCAGGGCATGCAACTTGGCTACGGCGGTAATCCGTATGGTCCCGCAGGAACTGGCAAAACGGAGTCTGTCAAAGCACTTGGGAATGCAATGGGTCGACAAGTGCTGGTGTTCAACTGTGATGAGGGTATTGATTTCAAGTCAATGGGCCGTATTTTTACAGGTTTGGTTAAATGTGGTGCTTGGGGATGTTTTGACGAGTTTAATCGTCTGAAGGTGGATCAGCTGTCGGCGGTGTCTCAGATGATACAAGTGATTCAGGAAGCACTCAAGAATGGCGAGTCCCACTGTCATTTGTTGGGGCGTGACATTGATGTTAACCCAAATGCCGGCATATTTGTCACAATGAATCCTGCTGGGAAACGCTACGGTGGACGCAGCAAGCTTCCTGACAACCTGAAACAGTTGTTCCGCTCTGTTGCCATGAGTGCTCCAGACAATGAACTCATCATGGAGACGATTCTCTTCAGCGAAGGATTTGAAAACGCGACGGAATTGGCCAAGCGAACTGTAGAGGTTTTTAAACTTGCCGCGGGTCTCTTGTCGTATCAGCAGCACTACGATTGGGGTCTCCGTGCTATGAAGTCTGTCATGCGGCTCGGGGGCTCTTTGATTCACCAATACTTGATGGACCGTGTTGGGGGAAAAGTGAAGCTAACCCCGCAGGATGTGTTACAGAAGGAGTGTGAGATTCTTATCAAGTCACTTCGTGTCAACACACTCTCCAAGTTGACCTTTGAGGATGCGATACTTTTTAACAATCTTATTGCTGACGTTTTTCCGGGTGTTCCTATTAAAGAAATTGATTACACGGAATTACATCCCGCTATTGTGGAGTCTATCAAGGAACTGAAACTGCAATTTGTGGAGTCGCAGGTACAAAAAATTCTTCAGCTGTATGAAGCATTAAAGCAGCGCATGGGAGTTGTATTGGTTGGTCCTGGCGGTAGTGGAAAGAGTACCCTCCTCCGTGTTCTTCGACGAGCGTTGCAGAGGCTTGGTGTCTCTGTCCCTCTTTACGTGATGAACCCCAAGGCGATGCCACGTACGCAATTATTGGGTCACATGGACAATGATACTCGTGAGTGGTTTGACGGCGTTCTCACGGAGGCGGCAAAGAAAGTTGTAAAGGAAGAGAATGATGTCCACTCATGGATTGTTTGCGACGGTGATATCGACCCCGAGTGGATAGAGTCATTGAACTCCGTACTGGACGACAACAAACTTTTGACGATGCCAAATGGGGTGCGTATTCAATTTGGCGACAATGTGAGTTTCTTGTTTGAGACCCACAGCCTGGAGTTTGCATCCCCAGCCACGGTCTCTCGCATGGGTATTATTTATCTTTCGGAGGAGGATGTAAATCCCAAGATGATGGTTGCAACATGGCTGTTGGAGCAACCAGAGGATTCTCGTGATCAGATGCGCAGCTGGATCGATGAGTTTTTTTACAAGGCCATTGACAATCTTTTGGCTACCGGTAACCTTATCGTTGAGACAACGCGTACTGGCCTCGTGGCCTCCGGTCTTAGTCAGTTACAAAACTGCAGCAACAAGGCACAGTTTACACTTGCACTTGTCTATGGATTGGGGTCGTACCTTCCGGAAGAAAATCGTCGGGAATACGCGAAGGACATTCATTACATGACGGGGGAACGCGTGTTGGATATGAAAGATCCACTTGGCACCCGCTACGATCTGCAGCATGGTGGCTACAGAAGTTTTGAGTTTCAGCCCGCATTTGAACTTTCGGTGGAAGATCTTTACCGGTATCCGATGATTGCTACCATTGAATGTCAGCGCAATATGGAAGTAATGCGGGCATGGACAAAGCCGCTCCGTCCTGGCGTATATCGCCCTTTTATACTTGTCGGTCCAGAGGGTTGTGGTAAGACGATGCTTCTCACCAATTTATTTGCGGGAATTTCCGGTACTCGTGTGGCGACTGTGAATTGCTCCGCACAGACGGAGGCTATTCATGTCATTCAGAAATTAAAACAAACTTGTCAAATGTTTAATACCAATCAGGGGCGCGTGCTCCGACCAAAAGAAGCAGAACGCCTGGTGTTACTTCTCAAGGATATGAACCTTCCGAAACCCGACAAGTATGGAACGGTACAGTTACATTCCTTGCTACAACAACTTATCCTGTACAGCGGTTTTTACGACACAGACCTAGAGTGGATTACTGTCGAGCGTGTGCAAATTGTTGGTAGCATGAATCCTCCCGGTAGTATGGGTCGATACCCTGTTGCGCCTCGCTTTCTTGCCATTGTATCCGTACTTTGCATGTCGTATCCTTCTCGAGAGTCTATGCAGATCATTTACTCTGAGTTTTTCAACATTATGATTCAAAGTCACAAGCTGAAATTTGAACTGCCTGGAAAAGGAGCGGCCGACATTGCACGCATCATGACAATTGTCTATGAGACTATTGCTATTCGATGTACGGTGGATGTGTCTTCGCATTATATTTTTACTCCGCGTGACGTCACCAAATGGGCACTCAATTTACTTAATTACAATTCGGTGGATATCCCAGATGCCATTGGATACGAGGGCCGACGCATTTTTATAGACCGTCTTATTTCCCCCGATGAAAGGACAAAATTTGCCAAATTGATTTATGATAACTTGATTTTCCTGGTTGGACACAGGGCGGGTATTACTGAAAAGGAGACGACATATTATGTTTCCTGGATGGATGTCGCCTCATCAAGGGTAAAAAAACTTAATGCCACCAGCATGGATGAACTGAAAAAGTCGGCGGAGCATCTTCTTTTGAATTATTCAAGAGAGTTTGCCGAATTGGATGTGCAACTTATTCCGGAGGTCTGTGCATGGATTGCACGGGTAGATCGTGTTTTGTCGCAGGAGCGAGGGAATTTGTTGCTTGTTGGCCGTTCTGGTGTGTGTGATAGGGCAATCATTCGTCTTGTTGCATACAACTTGCATATGGAGGTGATGACGTTGGCTATTACTCGGGAATATGGCATGAAGCAATTCAACGCGGAATTGAAGTCTGTTTTGTGCAAAGCTGGCATTGAGGGCCAACATGTTGTGCTTCTGCTGGAGGACCATCACTTTGGCAATAACCCTCTTTTTTTGGAATATGTGAACTCGTTGCTCTCTTCGGGCGAGATTCCTGGCCTGTTTACACAAGAGGAACAGGAGGCTCTTCTTGCCCCGCTTAGGGAGGAGGCAATGGGGGAAGGCATGAGTCCTTACGCATACTTTGTTGATCGTATCGCACGAATGCTGCATGTGTGTGTTGTGATGGATCCGACAAACCCAAATTATGAGGTTCATTGCCGTTCCAACCCTGCCCTTTTCACACGATGCAACGTCTATTGGATGGGAACGTGGTACAGTGACAGTCTCAAATTGATACCACGACTGATGATGTCCAATGTTTTTAAGGCGCTTGACATGCGATCGGACAAGAAGGAGTTTAGTCTTACAACAGAGATTGTGCACATTCATCGCGGATTCGCAGAGAAATTTTCCCCACAGCATTTTAAGACTCTTTGCCTCACGTACCAACGTATATTTAACGAAAAAAGTACTGCCATCGCCGAGATTTTGGATCGTTTGCAAAGTGGTGTATCCAAGCTGGATGAGGCGCAAGAAAATGTGGACCAGATTGCCACAGACGTTGCTGATAAAAAGACTCTGATGGAGGCCAAGCAACGTGAGGCAGATGAGGCCCTGCAACAAATTCAGGCGAATATGGAGGAGGCGGGGAATCAGAAAAAGAACATTCAAAGGATCCACAAGGATCTTGAAAAAGAACAGAGGGCCATCGAAGAGCGCAAACGGGTGATTGAAGAACGCCTTAGCGGAATTCAACCGATGCTTGATGCGGCACTTTCCTCAGTACGCTCTATTCGCGCAGAGCACCTCTCCGAGTTGAAGTCTATGAAACAGCCGCCCGCTGTCGTTCAGGATGTGATGGAGGGGGTGATTATCCTCATCGCGAGTAATTCCGTTACTGACATCAACTGGACAGCCATTCGCAAGATTCTTGCCGGTGACATCAAGAGCGACATTCTCAATTTCGATCTCGATAATGTTAACGAAACTGCCCGCTGGAAGTTGGAGCGGTTTATTCAAAGCCATGAGAATTCATTTCGGCGGGAAGTGATTGGTCGCGCCTCGAAAGCGGCTGCACCGATGGCGGAATGGCTCAAGGCAGTTGTGGAATATGGCAAAGTTCTTCAGACAGTGGCTCCCATGCGAGAGGAGCTCAAGGGCTACGAGGCCAACCTAAAGAGTGGCAACGAGAAAAAGAAGAAATATGAGGTGAAACTATCCAAGTTGGAGGAACATGTGGAAGAGCTAAAAAAAAATTTTGGGGAGAAGACAATGGAGGCGGAGCGGTTAAAAGACAGATTGGAGCAAGCAGAACAACTGTACCAAAGCGCCCATGACCTCCTTGTCAAACTTGCGAGTGAACATGACCGATGGGCGTCACAAATTAGGGCGATTCGAGCTGACCAACACCTTCTTCCGAAACGTTGTTTACTCGCTGCGGCATTTGTAATGTATTTGGGGAACGAGGCCGAGGATGTGCGTCGGCGCACTTTGGATGGATGGAAGGAACGTATAAAACAACTCGATGGTTTTAATTTTTTTACCTTTTTACGTCCACAGAGCACGCAACTGCAATATAAGGCGGAAGGACTTCCAGACGATGAGCTTTCGATGGACAATGCGGTAATGATGCAGGAACAGGTAACCACGCCACTTATAGTAGATAGCTCCGATCAGGCTGTTAA